TCGTACGTCAGGCTGCGTACGTCCAACAGCCTGGTTGATCAGTCCGGCAACCAGGAGGCCTGGTCGACGACCGGGCCGCGGGGACGCTAAGCCCCGGAAGCACCTCAAGGTAACCTCAAGGTAAGGTAACCTGCCACTGAGTTTGGTCTAATTTCGTTATAAAATTATATTATTTCAGAGTAACATTTGATTTTGACATTTGATTTGTAATTTGACATTTGATTTTGACATTTGATTTGTAATTTGACATTTGATTTTGAGTAAAAAATAAGTTTTTTTCATGTTCTACATTCAGCACCAACATTAGGGCGAGTAATTATATCCTATTTCTTCATTACTCTACGCAATGTTAGCAAGCTTTGGGTATGCCTCCCCCCTCCTTTTCCCTCCCTCATTCAAACCACCCTCTCCCTCATTCCCCCCCTCCCATCTCCATCATGTCGTTCGGAAAATAAATATTTAAATTTAAAGCCTCGTCCCGCGATAATTTTGAAATCAGCGACCAATTAACAAAATTGATAGCCGCCATAAGAAAAAGAAAAATACGGGAGCTCTTGAAGTATTAGCACAATTTAGAGCAATTTTCGATGAGGTTTTTTTTTTAATGTAATTCATGTAAATATGGACGTTTATGAGGAGCTAAAGCAGTCATCGTGTGTTGGTTTGTAAGAAGATATCTTAGAGTAATTTCAAGTCGGGTTTAGCTAGGCTAGGCTAGACCCGCTGACTTGGTCGGCTCTCACAGCACTCCCGAATGCATCCATGAACCTAATTGTCTACCTGTAGGAAAGATTTGTGAAACTGTCTACCTGTAGGGAAGATTCGTCAACCTGTCTACCTGTAGGGAAGATTCGTCAACCTGTCTATCTGTAGGAAAGATTCGTGAACCTGCCCACCTTCAGGGGGCATCTATAGCAATGCTTTCATTTAAATCGACAACACACACACTAGACGCATATATCAGTCCACATATTAAATGTTATTGATTTAAAGCATAAGCAAGCATAACCTAATCTAACCCAACGATATATATTCAGTTTTAACAATAAGAAAACGAGGCAAGGACAGGTGTGGGAAACGCCTGGGGCAATATTTGTTTTTTTCTGCTCTCGTTGTGTTCTTCCTTTTGTTTCTTCTCTCTCTCCCCCCACCACTCACCTCTCTCTCTCCCCCACACTCACCTCTCTCTCTCCCCCACACTCATCTCTCTCTCTCTCCCCCACACTCACCTCTCTCCCCCACACTCACCTCTCTCCCCCACACTCACCTCTCTCCCCCCACACTCACCTCTCTCTCCACTCTCCCCCACACTCACCTCTCTCCCCCACACTCACCTCTCTCCCCCACACTCACCTCTCTCCCCCACACTTATCTCTCTCCCCCACACTCATCTCTCTCCCCCACACTCATCTCTCTCTCTCTCCCCCCACACTCACCTCTCTCTCTCCTCCCCACACTTATCTCTCTCCCCACACTCACCTCTCTCTCTCCCCCACACTTATCTCTCTCCCCCCACACTCACCTCTCTCTCTCTCCCCCACACTTATCTCTCTCCCCCACACTCATCTCTCTCCCCCACACTCATCTCTCTCCCCCCACACTCATCTCTCTCTCTCCCCCACACTCACCTCTCTCCCCCACACTCATCTCTCTCTCTCCCCCCACACTCACCTCTCTCCCCCACACTCATCTCTCTCTCTCTCCCCCACCCACCTCACCTCTCTCCCCCACACTCATCTCTCTCTCTCCCCCACACTCACCTCTCTCCCCCACACTCACCTCTCTCCCCCACACTCACCTCTCTCTCTCCCCCACACTCATCTCTCTCCCCCACACTCACCTCTCTCCCCCCTCTCCCCCACACTCACCTCTCTCCCCCACACTCATCTCTCTCCCCCACACTCACCTCTCTCCCCCCACACTCACCTCTCTCCCCCACACTCACCTCTCTCCCCCCCCACACTCACCTCTCTCCCCCACACTCACCTCTCTCCCCCACACTCACCCTCTCTCTCCCCCCCACACTCATCTCTCTCCCCCACACTCACCTCTCTCCCCCACACTCACCTCTCTCCCCCACACTCACCTCTCTCCCCCACACTCACCTCTCTCTCTCCCCCACACTCATCTCTCTCCCCCACACTCACCTCTCTCTCCCCCACACTCACCTCTCTCTCTCCCCCACACTCATCTCTCTCCCCCACACTCACCCTCTCTCTCCCCCACACTCATCTCTCTCCCCCACACTCACCCCACTCTCCCCCACACTCACCTCTCTCCCCCACACTCACCTCTCTCCCCCCACACTCACCTCTCTCCCCCACACTCACCTCTCTCCCCCACACTCACCTCCTCTCTCTCCCCCCCACACTCATCTCTCTCCCCCCACACTCACCTCTCTCCCCCCACACTCACCTCTCTCCCCCACACTCACCTCTCTCCCCCACACTCATCTCTCTCTCTCCCCCACACTCACCTCTCTCCCCCACACTCACCTCTCTCTCTCCCCCACACTCACCTCTCTCTCTCCCCCACACTCACCTCTCTCTCTCCCCCACACACTCACCTCTCTCCCCCCACACTCATCTCTCTCCCCCACACTCATCTCTCTCTCTCCCCCACACTCATCTCTCTCTCTCCCCCACACTCACCTCTCTCCCCCACACTCATCTCTCTCTCCCCCACACTTATCTCTCTCCCCCACACTCATCTCTCTCCCCCACACTCATCTCTCTCTCTCTCCCACACTGACCGCCAGTCTCTCTCCCACACTGACTGCTAGTCTCTCCCCCACACTGACCGCCAGTCTCTCTCCCACACTGACCGCCAGTCTCCCTCCCACACTGACTGCCAGTCTCTCCCCCACACTGACCGCCAGTCTCTCCCCCACACTGACTGCCAGTCTCTCCCCCACACTGACCGCCAGTCTCTCTCCCCACACTGACCGCCAGTCTCTCTCCCACACTGACTGCCAGTCTCTCCCCCACACTGACTGCCAGTCTCTCACCCACACTGACCGCCAGTCTCTCCCCCACACTGACTGCCAGTCTCTCCCCCACACTGACCGCCAGTCTCTCACCCACACTGACCGCCAGTCTCTCCCCCACACTGACTGCCAGTCTCTCCCCCACACTGACCGCCAGTCTCTCCCCCACACTGACCGCCAGTCTCTCCCCCACACTGACCGCCAGTCTCTCCCCCACACTGACTGCCAGTCTCTCCCCCACACTGACCGCCAGTCTCTCCCCCACACTGACCGCCAGTCTCTCCCCCACACTGACTGCCAGTCTCTCCCCCACACTGACCGCCAGTCTCTCTCCCACACTGACCGCCAGTCTCTCCCCCACACTGACTGCCAGTCTCTCTCCCACACTGACCGCCAGTCTCTCTCCCATACTGACCGCCAGTCTCTCTCCCACACTGACTGCCAGTCTCTCCCCCACACTGACCGCCAGTCTCTCCCCCACACTGACTGCCAGTCTCTCCCCCACACTGACCGCCAGTCTCTCCCCCACACTGACTGCCAGTCTCTCCCCCACACTGACCGCCAGTCTCTCCCCCACACTGACCGTCAGTCTCTCCCCCACACTGACCGCCAGTCTCTCCCCCACACTGACCGCCAGTCTCTCCCCCACACTGACCGCCAGTCTCTCCCCCACACTGACTGCCAGTCTCTCCCCCACACTGACCGCCAGTCTCTCCCCCACACTGACCGCCAGTCTCTCCCCCACACTGACTGCCAGTCTCTCTCCCACACTGACTGCCAGTCTCTCTCCCACACTGACTGCCAGTCTCTCTCCCACACTGACTGCCAGTCTCTCTCCCACACTGACTGCCAGTCTCTCCCCCACACTGACCGCCAGTCTCTCTCCCACACTGACCGCCAGTCTCTCTCCCACACTGACCGCCAGTCTCTCTCCCACACTGACTGCCAGTCTCTCCCCCACACTGACTGCCAGTCTCTCTCCCACACTGACCGCCAGTCTCTCTCCCACACTGACTGCCAGTCTCTCCCCCACACTGACCGCCAGTCTCTCCCCCACACTGACCGCCAGTCTCTCCCCCACACTGACCGCCAGTCTCTCCCCCACACTGACCGCCAGTCTCTCCCCCACACTGACTGCCAGTCTCTCTCCCACACTGACCGCCAGTCTCTCACCCACACTGACCGCCAGTCTCTCCCCCACACTGACTGCCAGTCTCTCCCCCACACTGACTGCCAGTCTCTCTCCCACACTGACCGCCAGTCTCTCTCCCACACTGACCGCCAGTCTCTCCCCCACACTGACCGCCAGTCTCTCCCCCACACTGACCGCCAGTCTCTCCCCTACACTGACCGCCAGTCTCTCCCCCACACTGACTGCCAGTCTCTCTCCCACACTGACCGCCAGTCTCTCTCCCACACTGACCGCCAGTCTCTCTCCCACACTGACCGCCAGTCTCTCCCCCACACTGACCGCCAGTCTCTCTCCCACACTGACCGCCAGTCTCTCCCCCACACTGACCGCCAGTCTCTCTCCCACACTGACCGCCAGTCTCTCTCCCATACTGACCGCCAGTCTCTCTCCCACACTGACTGCCAGTCTCTCCCCCACACTGACTGCCAGTCTCTCCCCCACACTGACTGCCAGTCTCTCCCCCACACTGACCGCCAGTCTCTCCCCCACACTGACTGCCAGTCTCTCCCCCACACTGACCGCCAGTCTCTCCCCCACACTGACTGCCAGTCTCTCTCCCACACTGACTGCCAGTCTCTCCCCCACACTGACTGCCAGTCTCTCCCCCACACTGACTGCCAGTCTCTCCCCCACACTGACCGCCAGTCTCTCCCCCACACTGACCGCCAGTCTCTCCCCCACACTGACTGCTAGTCTCTCCCCCACACTGACTGCCAGTCTCTCCCCCACACTGACCGCCAGTCTCTCCCCCACACTGACTGCCAGTCTCTCCCCCACACTGACTGCCAGTCTCTCCCCCACACTGACCGCCAGTCTCTCTCCCACAGGCAGCAGCGGCATCAAGATCACACGTGTGGTGGTGCCGGCGCGGCTGGAGGTCGGTGGACAAGGGGACTTGGACTGCTCGTGGGAGGAGGACACCGACCACATGTACTCCATCAAGTGGTACCAGGGAGCCCACGAGTTCTACCGCTACACCCCCACCTTCCGCGACCCCATCCAGGTCTTCGACCCCCCAACACTCGATGTCGATGTAAGTGGGGGGGCAAGAGGGGCTTCGGTGTTCAATGTCCCCGCGGCCCGGTCTCAGACCAGGGCTTCCTGGTTGGTGGTCTGGTAAATCAGGCTGTTAGATGCTGCTGCTGCTCTTGCTCGTAGTTTGATGTATGAAGCACAGCCTGGTTGATCAGGGATCCTTTGGAGGTGTTTATCAAGTTCTCTCTTGAACACTGTGAGAGGTCGGTTAGTTATGTCCCTGATGTGAAGAGGAAAAGTCTTGCTTCCTAGATAATAAATTTTCTCTCTGGATGCCTTATACACCTCTGCTCTTCAACGGGGCTATTTTGCACTTCCTGCCATGCCTCCTGGTGTCAAGTGCTGTTATCTCCGTGTGAAGATTTGGACCCAGTCCATCCAATATTTCCCAAGTGTAAATTATTCCACCCGTCCTCCTGTTTAGACAGTACTTTTTGTAACTATGTGCACCATAGTACAAACATTGATGTACTAAGCAATTAGATAGTAGAACTTTGTACTCTTCATTTTATAGTCCGAAAAAATTGAAGCTAAAAAATAAACTTAAATATTCCTAGGCCTAGTATAGCACACAATGTTTAGGCATTGTATGTACTAGCCCTATCTATAAATCCATCACTCTTTGTAAAATCTCTTGTATGTATGTACCTTACCTAAATAAACATTTGATTTGATTTGATTTGACATATGTACTATGTTAGGCCTCAGATAGTGTGTATCAGGCCTACGAAGGTTAGGTTAGGTTAGGTTAGTTTGTCTTTGCAACATAAGTAGAAAATTGTTTTCCAGGTTTGTCCAGATTAAATAGTACAGATTTCTAATTAATAATTGCGTTGTACGTCGGTATATGTACTATGGTCCTCATCCCTGCTATAAGTACTGTCAACACATGAGGATGGGCTGAAATTATTACACATCCCTTCTGCCTGCGCTCTAGAGAATATAGATTTAAACATTTTAAGCGGTTGCAATAATTTTGATTCTTTATTGAGTGGATTCTGGCAGTAAAAGGCCTTAGCAGATTCTCCAGTCCTTAACTTCTGAAGCTTCGAATGAGGCTGTTAGTGTACAACAATATATCACCCTAGAGAACAATAGTGTCTTTAAAAGTCAAAAGTCAAGGTTTAAAATCAGTGGTCTGGTATCTCTTGTGTGATAGGTTCTTGCTATCCAGCCTCTCATTTTTCTTGCAGTTGACCAGACCACATACTAGAAGGTGAAGGGACGACGACGTTTCGGTCCTTCCTGGACCATTCTCAAGTCGAGACACAATCGACTTGAGAATGGTCCAGGACGGACCGAAACGTCGTCGTCCCTTCACCTTCTAGTGTGTGGTCTGGTCAACATAATTTAGCCCCGTTATTGTGACTCGTCGCCTTCTTGTAGTTGTGACAGCTTCTTTACTGTGTTGTTTCAAAGGTCTTCAGACATGATTACTCTCATACATTTTATATTGTTTTTTCGTTCTGGTTGATACCTGGTTGATACCTGGTTGATGGGGTTCTGGGAGTTCTTCTACTCCCCAAGCCCGGCCCGAGGCCAGGCTCGACTTGTGAGAGTTTGGTCCACCAGGCTGTTGCTTGGAGCGGCCCGCAGGCCCACATACCCACCACAGCCCGGTTGGTCCGGCACTCCTTGGAGGAATAAATCTAGTTTCCTCTTGAAAACTGTAGTGTGACTTGTCTGCATTTTATAGGTGATTTCTATTTTTTATATTTTCCACGTCAGTTTTCAATTTTTCATGATGTATTTTTATAATAATAATGACTAGTACATAAAGAAATATCATGAAAGTGATACATCAATTATAAAATCCATTGGAGGCATGGAGAGAGGAGCCAGCGACCGCGTGCTCCCAGAGTGAACAACACCTCCTCCAGAGTGTGTGGAGGTGTTGTGTGAATTTTTTTTTTTTTTAATTTTGCCCCGAAGGGCGAGTTTATTGGGCAGCGCCACTCATCTTGTGAGTGGACACACCGTCATAGCGACAGTATTGGGCAGCGTCACTCATCTTGTGAGTGGACACACCGCCATAGTGACAGTATTGGGCAGCGCCACTCATCTTGTGAGTGGACACACCGCCATAGTGACAGTATTGGGCAGCGCCACTCATCTTGTGAGTGGACACACCGTCATAGTGACAGTATTGGGCAGCGCCACTCATCTTGTGAGTGGACACACCGTCATAGTGACAGTATTGGGCAGCGCCACTCATCTTGTGAGTGGACACACCGTCATAGCAGCATGTACAACACTCCCCAATGTTGTGTGAAAACTTGCCTTAGCGGCAGTATAGGCTTCCGCACGTCCAGTAAATTCAGTGGAATCCCAGTTGGTTGTATAACCTTTGGCATGTCGTGATGCAGTGGTGTGATGTGTGCGGCTGGGAGCGAGCATGTCGCTGGTTCCAGTCACTGCATTGCTCTCATTTATTTTCTCAGTGGCAAAGATAATTTGAAGAATAATAATGCTGTATCAAAAATAGACTATAAATCCTTATAGAAGAGACAACCGTCCTTCCCTCCCACCGTGCTAAACACCCTCCCTTCTTCCCTCCCTTTTTCAACATTCCTCCTTCCCAGCCCCTCCTTCTCTCCCTCACAGCCTCCACTCTAATGCTTTGTCTCCAACATCTTCCTCATAAGAGTGTGAGGCGTCTTGCCGGGCGAGAGGTCAGCGGTCGGTCTCCCAGGAGGCCGGGTCCTCCGTCCCAGTGGGAGGAGAGGCGCCTGTCCTCCTGATCCAGGCAATCATCCCTCTCCACTCACCAATCCCACAAATCCCTCCTCCCTCACTCTCCCTCTGTATGTTCACCCCATTCACCAGTTATCCCAGTAGCCTGCCTCTCTGTCTCTCTCTCTCTCTGTCTGTCTGTCTCTCTCACTGTCTGTCTGTCTCTCTCTCTCTCTGTCTGTCTCTCTCTCTCTCTCTGTCTCTTTCTCTGTCTCTCACTCTTTCTCTCTCTGTCTCTCTGTCTCTCTGTCTCTCTTTGTCTCTCACTCTCTCTCTCTTTCTCTCTCTCTCTCTTTCTCTTTTTTCTTTCTCTCTGCCTGTCTCTCTCACTCTCTCACTCTCTCACTCTCTCTCTCTCTCTCTCTCGTGTGTGTGTATTTATTATTTGTGCTTGCAGGATCGAGCGTTAGCTCTTGGATCCCGCCTTTCCATCAGCCAAAAAGTTATTGTCTGCGGTAATAACTCCTGACCTATCTTGTCTACCTTCAAAATTATGAACAGAGTTTGCCTCTACAACTTGTTACTCCCTTCATGCAGCCTATTTTCCCACTACTCTTTACGCTGGACGAAAACTTTAACATCTCTTATGACCCATCTGAGTCTCAAGCTTCCTTGTCCTCTTGTACTATTGATGTTCATTGTGAACATTTCCTCCTCCACTATCAATCCCTTGAGTATTTTATATGTCTCTAGCATGTCTTCTCTCTCTCTACTCTTTTCTAGCGTCGTGAGGTTTAGTTCCTTCAGTCTCTCTTCATATCGCATCCTTCACAATTCGGGTGAACAGCGATGTAAATGACTCCTTATCGAGGTTGGTCAATCATGTTGTGGCTTGTTAGTGTTGACTATTGAGCGGCAGTTATTATATGAACCTCCGCAGTTATAATGTTCACGACTGTTCCTCCAGCTGTTACAGGGAGGCAGTTCCCCTTCATCCTCTACTGTTCTATTGGTCTCCTGACTCCTGTTCCCACTTCCATCACCTTACACGTGCTGGTGTTCAACTCCAGTAGCCATTTATTGGAATAATTCGGCAGCTTAAGTTGTCCAAGAGAATCTTACATTCCTCATCTTTCACAACTCTTCTCGTTAGTGTTACATCTGCAAAAATTGGCATAATTGTAGATAGGTTGTTTAGATAATTGAGAAATATTATGGGTGTTAACAGCGCTCCTTGAGGCACTTGTTACGCTGCGACCTTTAGACCTCTCGCCCCTCACTGTTACTCTCTGACTCCTGTCTGGTAGGTAATTATTTACCCAAGTTAGTGCTTCTCTGCTTACTCTCGCCTGCCTCTTAGAGTTTGTATAGTAATGTTTATGTCTTATGCAGTATTGTATCAATGACGTTTTGGCAGTCTACAAGTATGCAGTCTGCCCAAGTTTCTCTGTCCTAGTTTATTTTTTTTACTTTATCATATAACTTTAGTAGATTATTTAGGCACGATTTCCCTAAAGCCATGTTGATGTTTGTGTACATATCTAATCCTCTCCAGATGTGTGAGTAGTCTTATCAATATTATTCTTTCAAGTTCTTTGCAGGGAAAGTTCGTCGGTGACGCTGGTCTATAGTTAAGTGCCTTCTCTCTATCTCCTTTTTTCTGTATGTCCCCCCACACACCGCCCTCAGCCCCTAGTCCACACATTGACCCCAGCCCTTAGCCTACACACCGCCCTCAGCCAATAGCCCACACACCGCCCTTAGCCAATAGCCCACTCATCACCCTCTGCTTCTCCTACAGCTGGAGAAGTCTTGGGGCGGGAGTGTGAGGATCGCCAACGTCAGCCTGGGAGCCGAGGGCCCCTTCCACTGTGAGGTGTCCGCCGACGGGCCCACCTTCCACACCGCCTCCGACTCCGCCTCCCTCACCGTAGTAGGTAGGCATGCAGGGCCCCCCCGTCACCTGGGGTTGAGTAGGGGGCGGGGGTACATTTTGCCCCCCTGATGTGAGGGTTACTGTTAGTCCTGTTTTGGGAGGGGGAGGAGGTCAGGATGAGTCAAATATAGTGCAAATATTCTGCAATGGGAATATGCACATATGGAACCAAAGGCTCAATTGCAGTTTCGCACATTGGCAGGAAATGGTGGTATATGCTAGGGAAGGTTGTACAGTTTGCGTTTTGGAACAGAGTACATATATTTCCATATTATGCTATGCCAACTCTCAATTCAAAATAGGAAATGCTATGATCTTCAATGCCCAGATTTCCACGTGAGAGGAATAGAGCTGTATAGACGGGAGGAGGACCAATTCTGAAATTTTTTAGAGGCAGACAGAAACATTACAAGAGTAGTGATGGGAATTGAGACATTCACAAGATCAGACTCCAAGCTTCAAGCACAGACTTCCTCCACAACTATTATCAGTAGATAGTACTACTTTTGATAGTACTACTATCAAATGTACAACTTTTGATAGTACTACTATCAAAATTCTACAAATTATTGGCAGAACTACAACACAGCCTGGATCATAAGGGACAGGAAAGAGAACTCCCAAAACCTACCAGAAGCGACATACAAGATACAAGGCCTAAAATCAAAATCGAGAATTTCTAGTCACAAATGGCCATCTAATAGTCGAATTCAATATTTTAAGCATTTACAGCAACCCATACTGGAGACTACTTGGACAATGGAATCTTGATCCCAAAATATCATTTATATACCAATAACAGCATAAATAGGTCACATAGAGAAGGTCTGCATATTAAAGAGGATCTTGTATGCAGAGAGCTCTTGAACACTACAAATGAGGTTCCTGGAATCAAAATAAAGAACATAAATCTTGTTATTATTGTAATATGCAAACCGCCAGAAAAAAGAAGTTGACAAATTCACAGAACAGATGAACAGAGCCGCTCAGATCCACGTATGGAATCCACCACAGTGGTCGAGGTGTTTCACCACAGTGGTCGAGGGATTCCACCACAGTGGTCGAGGGATTCCACCACAGTGGTCGAGGGATTCCACCACAGTGGTCGAGGGATTTCACCACAGTGGTCGAGGGATTTCACCACAGTGGTCGAGGTATTCCACCACAGTGGTCGAGGGATTCCACCACAGTGCTCCTACTATTTAAATCACTGGTGCTTTTCCGTGATTTAAAGTACTTACTTTCCCTTACTGTGAAAGGGTAATTGCTGCTCGGTACTTACTTCCCCTTCCACAGCAGGAGAACTTGCTGAAATAGAGGGAGTGCAGAGATCACATACGGCACGCATAGACGCGATAAAGCACCTAAATTATTGGTAACATCTTAAAGTTCTCAAATTGTACTCTCTAGAAAGGAGAAGTGTATCAAATAATATATACATGGAAGATACTGGAGGGCCAGTTCCCAAATTTGTACAGCAAATTAACAACATACTGAAGCAAACTATATGGTAGGAAATGAACATTGTTTTTTTAAGATTCGCTACTTATAACAGCAAGTTCTAAGTGGCACGGGCTATGGTGAGCCCGTAGTGGACTTACCTGGCACAGGAGTGGGGCTATAACTGATGTAGGAAATGATGAATAGATCCCGGTGAAGAGTAGAGGCGCCGCAGACACAGAGAACATTGTGTTCAGGACAAGAGGGGCCCCACGCCTATTTGCTATCCTCCCAGCAAGCATAAGAAATATTGACCAGGCAAAAGTTAGACGTGTTCAATAACAAACCAAACACATTGCTACTGGAAGAGGTGGGAGACCAAGCAGGTTATCACAAGTCAGGCTTGACCCCGGGCCGGGCTTGTGAAGTAGAACAACTCCAGAACCCACTACAGGTATAGTCTTCATGTATGGGGAGGGGAGGGGGGGGGGGTACCGGGTAAGTCCTGGTGTGGGGGGAGGGGTGACCGGGTGAGTCCTGGAAAGAGCATATATAAATTAACAATTTATTATTTAGCTTGAACACCATAGTGTAAATCTATATCATTATTAAGGAGTGGACAATCAGCGGCGCCTGAGGTCCAGGGGACTGTGACGTCATATCCCGCCCAGCACACCACCATACACAACTTTGGAACAGACAAACAGGTGTCATAGATTAACCCCAAAAGCTTCACAGAATCTTTGTATATATGGGGATAACCATAAAGTGACAAAGAAGGACGAAGGATGACATACTTTAGAGTAAAAGTCATAGCACAAGTCTTAGTTGCAGAGAACTTGAAGCCATGATGGGTGCCCCAAGACAACACGGCATCAATCGCAAGTTGAAACCGCCGTCGGAGAAGCGAATCATTACCTCGACAGCAAAGAGTAAGATCGTTGACATAAAGAGCAGAGAAGATAGCAGAAGGGACGAAAGAAGACCATTGAGGGCAACCAGAAAGAGTAGTGCTCGGAACACTACCTTGGGGTACACCTTCGTATTGCAGACAAGAGGCAGAGAGTGTGGTATCAAGCCTGACTCGAAAGAAACGACGAGAGAGGAAGCTTTGGAGGAAGAGAGGGAGATTATCACGAAGGCCAAAAGAACGAAGTTGGGACAGCATATGGTATCTCCAGGTTATCTTGAGGTTATCTTGAGATGATTTCGGGGCTTTTTAGTGTCCCCGTGGCCCGGTCCTCGACCAAGCCTCCACCCCCAGGAAGCAGCCCGTGACAGCTGACTAACACCCAGGTACCTATTTTACTGCTAGGTAACAGGGGGCATAGGGTGAAAAAAAAACTCTGCCCAATGTTTCTCGCCGGCGCCTGGGATCGAACCCAGGACCACAGGATCACAAGTCCAGCTCGGCCGACCGGCTCCAGGTTGTCATAAGCCTTTTCCAGGTCAAAAGGACAAAAACAACGGAGGTCTCCACATCAAAAACAGTACGAATATAGACCTCTGAGTTCACCGGGACATCAGTTGTGCTGCAGCACTTGCGAAAACCAAATTGAGGAGGAGAGGTGTGGTGGTGGTGGTGTTCCAAGAACCACATCAGACGAACATTTACCATACGCTCAAAGAGTTTGCAGACACAACTCGTGAGGGCAATAGGGTGGAAGTCCTTACGGGATGTCCCGAGAGACCCCGGGTTCCGAATAGGAAGTACAACGGCATCGAGCCAGTCCTCATGGGCAGACGACGACTCCCAGACCTGGTTATACAGACTCGGTAAATACCGAGACGTGCAAGGAGGGAGATGGCGAAGCATCTCATGATGAATGTCATTCGAACCCGCTGTCATAGAACCGCAGAGGGCCAGGGCAGACGAAGTCAGAAAGAGAGAGTGGATCGTTATAGGGAAGGCGGAAATGAGTGCGGAAATCTAAGGGATGAGATTCAAGAATGGGCTTACGAAGAAGGAAGGATTGAGGAAGATGAGAACCAGAGCTAACAGAAGAAAAGTGGGAAACCAGTTCGGTCGCGACCTGCACTAGGTCCACCACAAGAGTACCACAGAGGTGAAGAACCGGCGAGATATCTGGAACGAACTTGCCTGCAATCTTGCAGATCATCTTCCAGATCTGTGGTAGAGGAGTATTGGACGTAATGGTGGAAACGTAAGATTTCCAACTCTCATGCCTAGCTGCACGGATGGTCCTACGGGCCACCGCACTTGCTTTCCGAAACAAAATAAAAGAATCAGCCGTCTGTTGGCGTCGGTGTTTCTTCCAGGCTGCACACTTACAGCGGACAGCCCGAGCACAGTCCGCATTCCACCAGGGAACGCACTTCTGCGTGCCCTGGGAGGTAGAGCGAGGAATAGAGCAGATGGCAGCACCGAAGACGGTCATAAAAAGGAGGAGGGCGCGAGGAAGAGGCAGAGAGGAGAGGTCAGCGAGAGTAGCATGGAGGGTGAATAGGTTTCAGTCAGCTTTGGCAAACTGCCACCTAGGGAAGGAGAGGGGAGGGTGGAAAGAGAAAAAGAAATAAGGATGGGGAAATAGTCGCTGTTATGGAGGTCATCAAGAACCCGCCACTTGAGATCTAAGTAAAGGGACGACGAGCAGAGAGAAAGATCAAGACAGGAAAGGGTGCGAGTTTGAGAGTCTACATGGGTGGGCTCACCAGAATTCAGAAGACGGAAGAAGAGAGGACGAACGGTTCGAGAAGGTGACCTCGGGTGTTTGTCTGAACATCATCCCAGAGGGTATGTCGACAGTTGAAATCACCCAACAGGAGCACTGGCTCCGGCAAGGAGTCCAGGAGGTGCTTAACATTAGGAAGGGAAAGCGGGACATTTGAGAGGAGATAAATAGAACAGACTGTATACCATTTACTCACAAAAACACGGGCAGCAGAACAATGGATAGACGATGGAAACAGTAGGGGGACGAAGGGAAGATCAATACAAATCAAGAGAGCAGTAGAGTTATGGGCCCCAGCCAGAGCTGGGGGGGGGGGGGTGGAGAAAGAAAGGAATAACCACGAAAGTGACCAGGACGAGCACCAAGCATCGGTTCCGGGAGACAAACACAAAGTGGTGAAAACTATGTAATCAGAAGTTGGCATAAAATCCACGAATATTCCATTGAAGAATATACATTATCAAAAAGAGAAAGGACAGCAACAGAGAACAATGAAGAAACAAATGTAAAGAAGGACACAGTTTATTAAGCTCAGGATCAGGATAAACTGAGTAAGGATGGAGTGAAGGGAGCGGGAGGACAGACCAGAGGCAGACGGGTAGGATCCGGAGGAAGAGGCAGAGAGAACCGAGAGGGGAGGTCAAGGACAGCAGGAGGATGGGGGGGGGGCAGAAACCGGGGAGTGCACCTCAGCAAGGGCAGCAACTGAGAGGGAATCAGGAGCTAAAGAAACCTCCTGAGCTGGGACCGACCACCGAAATAGAAGGGGACAGAGCGTGAGAGTCAAAGGTGGAGGGGGGCGGTGAGGAAGAAAGTGATGCCTTCTTACCTGCCGGGGAGGACGAAGGAAAGGAGCCAGGCTTACGTTTCTGACTCAAAGAGACAGGTGTTCCAGCAACAACGTACTGGGCGGCAGACTCAATTGTCTCAATAGGAGAAGATGAACGGGAGTGAACAACATGAAGATTGCTGGGAGGGTGATGGACATCAGCCTGGACAGACCGGCGGCATACAAGGCCAAGAGACTGGGGGGAGGGATGGGAAGAAGGATTGGGGAAAGAAGACACAGGAGACATGGCAGACTGGGTAGGAAGGGGGGAAACTTCAGATGGAGAACCAGTAGAGGACCCCTTCGGGACAGAACGTAAAGGAACGGGAGGAGGTGGTGGGCGTGTCCGGGTCTAAGATCTGGAACCAGTTGTGAGACTGAGTAAGGTGGGAAGAACGAGGAGAGGTAGAACGCAACACGCAAGCGTAGGATACGCCAGCAAAAGGGGTGAGACGGCGAACTTGGCGTCTCTCTTCAGGAAAAGACAGACGATCCCGGTGTTTCAAGTTGAGGACGGCTTCCTCAAGTTTGTAGTGTATACACGAGCGGGAGAAGGTAGGGTGGGCCTCACTGCAATTGAGGCAGCGAGCCTGGGGAGAAATGCACTCGGACTTAAGAGTGATCATCGGCCCCACACATGGGGCACAGGTACACAGTACATGAGCATTTGAGGACACCGTGCCCGAACTTCCAGCACTTATTGCAAAGTCTAGGAGAGGGAATGAACTCCTAAACGGAGCATCTGGCACCAGCAAGAATTATAGAGGGCGGAAGGGTCCTACTATTGAAGGTGATTTTCACAACTCGAAAGGGCTGATGGCGATGACCACGAGGGAGTCGAGTGAACGTGTCTACCTAGAGGACAGGATGTCCTTGGGCTTCGAGGATATGTTTAATATCCTCGTGGCAGTCTTTTAGGTCCCTAACACCAGTTGCAACATGGTGCGGGAGGAGAACAGTGCCAACACTGTCATTTAACCGAGCGTTTTTGGAGACCGGAACAGGGGTCTCCCCAATGCAGGACAATGTGGCTAAGCGGGTAGCTGCATCCGGTGAAGGAGCAGCGACGACACGTGTACCTAAACGGGTGGGGTTAAAAGTAACAGAGGCATCCACCGAATCAACAAGGTGTTTATGGAGTGAGAAATCGTCAGGTGTAGAATCCAGAGGGAGGAGATCAAAGTATTTAGCCCACGAAGCAGGACCAAACAAGGCTTGGTACGTATTAGTATGGGAAGGGATCGTGCGTTGAGAACCCCCAGAGAGAGAGAGGGATTAAAAGGTGCAGTAGTCACAATGAGAGACTGAGCCGCGCCAGGGGACGAGGTGGTCACCGCTGGGGGCGTATGGCTCAACCCAACCACAGAGGAGGGAGGGGAGCTGAGGGGAGTAGTCAGGAGGGTCAAAGGAGGAGCAAGGTCTGGGCCCAATGTAGTGGGAGCTACAGAGCCCGGTCTTCCAACACAGTCCGACTCGGGGGCTTGGTCGCCACCCCACAAGCCTGAGAAGTCATAAAGGGGAGATCATAAAGGGTATTCGGCGACATGGAAACGAGAGGTAATACTTTCATTCACGAATGTGCCCCGGCACTCACCATAGAGCCACAATTAGAGGCAGGACACCCAATAAGAGACATGTTGCCGATCTTGCCGGGGCCCCCCTAGGGGGGTGTCGTGAGTATACGCCCCACAAACACTTCCTTAAGAACCATCAGTCCGTCGAGATCGGGCTTGTCCGGGTCTAAGATCTGGAAACGGTTCGGAGACTGAGTTAGGTGGGAAGAACGATGAGACGAAAGGAGGATTGACAATAAAAGGGTCCCCTCGCTCGAGATGTTGGGTACTACAGTTCTATTGGTGCAAGAGTATGCCTCCTCAAACACCCGGTCATCAAAACAAAAGAAGGCCAAAATCAAAACAGGCAAAAGGTCGGCGGGAAATGACAATTAGAAAGGAGAAGGGGGGGGAAATAAAATATAAGGAAAAGGAAAAGTTGTCCAGCATAATATGTGAGAACAGCAGCAGGAGCATAAGGCCACAAAAGGACAGAGGACTGTGCCATGGAGCATCACACCCCGGCAGCTGCCCACCAAGCCCCCCCTCACGGCAGCGGGCATGTCCAGGAGGCTCCTACTGCTTTGTGTTGTAGAGTAAAATCGTATGCTATACGCTTGTTACATTGTGAAGCACTGGTTGTGTGAGAGGAGGGTCGAGGGAGGGAGGGGTACATTCCCCCCGTGTGTTGTGGGGGGAGAGGCGACAATACTCGTAGTTCACTGTTCATTTTTTTTACAACAAATTAGCATAATGGCTTCCAGGTGGTCGACGCGTGCTATTGGTTCTCTTACCTGCCGCCACCGCCACCACCGCCTGGACATACCTGCAGCATACCCGGAGGGGGTTTCAGGGAGTTGTTCTACTCCCCAATCCCGGCCCGAGGCCAGGCTCCACTTGTGATAACTTGGTCCAACAGGCTGTTGCTTGGAGCAGCCCGAAGGCCCATATAACCGCTACAACCAGGTTGGTCCGGCACTTCTCGCAAGAACTTCTCTAAGCGCATCTTGAAGACATCCACCTTTGTTCCGGCATTATTTGTTACGCTTGCAGAGAGGGTATTGAACAGCCGTGGACCCCTGATTTTCAGACAGTGTTCTCTGTGCCTATGGCACCTCTACTCCTCTTTGGCGGGTAAGTCACTCGTGGTGTCTTACCCGCCCCAGATGAGTGATCATAACGTTCTCAGAAGGTAATGCCCGAAACGCTGCGCGTACTAGTGGCTTTACAAGATTGTAATTACCATATTATGTATCCTCACAATCCCAATGTACCTTCTTGTATATGCATAAATAAATAAATAAATATATAATCTGTACAGACTCACTGTTGTTCTGCGGTTAGCTTCCCTTCTCATGAGATATCTCGTGCTCTCTCATTCGCTGGTTAACTGTATAACTTTGTCTTTATCTTTGAGTGACATACTGAAGCGCTGACACACTCTTCCCTGTCTGAGTATGGTCACGCCCTCCTCCTACAGACCTTCCTGACGGCGTGCCGGTGATCAAGGGCGTCAGGAGCCACTACCTGCCCGGGAGCTGGGTCGACCTCACCTGCACCTCCTTCAGGTCCAAGCCCGCAGTGCGCCTCTCCTTCGTCATCAACACACAGCCCGTGAGTTCCTTGACATCTGCTGTATTTACTATTTGTGTCTGCAGAATCGAGCTATTAACTCTTGGGCCCCGCCTTTCTACCAATTTATTTTCCTTTATTATGTCTACGACATATATTTCTAACACATACACACATATCCCAAGGAAGCAGCCCGTAGCAGCTGTTTAACTTGCAGGTACTTATTTACTGCTAGGTGAACAGGTATATCAGGGTGAAAGAAACTGCTCCATTTGTATGCCTCGACCGTGAATCAAACCCGGGCCCGTAGGACTACGACCCCCGAGCGCTGTCCACATAGCAGCGAGGCCCACACACACACACACGTTTTGTGTGTGTGTGTACTCACTTAGTTGTGCTTTCGGGGGTTGAGCTCTGGCTCTTTGGTTCCTCCTCTCAACTCCAATCAACTGGTGTACAGATTCCTGAGCCTACTGGGCTTTATCATATCTACATTTGAAACTGTGTATGGAGTCAGCCTCCACCACATCACTGCCTAATGCATTCCATCCGTTAACTACTCTGACACTGAAAAAGTTCTTTCTAACGTCTCTGTGGCTCATTTGAGTATTCAGTTTCCACCTGTGTCCCCTTGTTCTCGTACCACCCGTGTTAAACAGTTTATCTTTATCTACCTTGTCAATTCCTCTGAGAATTGTGTAGGTAGTGATCATGTCTCCCCTTACTCTTCTGTCTTCCAGTGTTGTGAGGTGCATTTCTCGCTTTCTTCGTAACTCATGCCACTTAGTTCTGGGACTAGCCTAGTGGCATATCTCTGAACTTTTTCAAGCTTCGTCTTGTGCTTGACAAGATACGGGCTCCATGCTGGGGCCGCATACTCCAGGATTGGTCTTACATATGTGGTGTACAAGGTTCTGAATGATTCCTTACACAGGTTCCTGAAGGCTGTTCTGATGTTAGCCAGCCTCGCATACGCCGCAGATGTTATTCTTTTGATGTGGGCTTCAGGAGACAGGTTTGGTGTGATATCAACTATATTACTTTTTACCTAGATCTTTCTCTCTGTCCGTTTCATGAAGGACTTCATCTCCTATTCGGTATCCTGTGTCTGGCCTCCTGTTTCCACTGTCTAGTTTCATTACCTTACATTTACTTGGGTTGAACTTTAGTAGCCATTTGTTAGACCATTCACTCAGTCTGTTTAAGTCTTCTTGTAGCCTCATACTACCTCCGTCTTAATCCTCCTCATAATTTTTGCATTATCAGAAAACAATGAGAGGAATGATTCTATACCATCTGGAAGATCATTTACATATATAAGAAACCGTATGGGTCCAAGAACTGAACCCTGCGGGACTCCACTGGTGACGTCTCGCCAATCTGATACCTCACCCCCTATAGTGACTCGCTGTCTTCTGTTATTTAGGTACTCCCTTATCCAATGGAGTACCTTTCATTTCACTCCTGCCTGCATCTCCAGCATTCGCACTAGTCTCTGGTGTGGTACTGTGTCAAAGGCTTTCTGGCAATCCAAAAATATGCAGTCTGCCCACTCCTCTCTTTCCTGTCTGATTCTTGTTGCCTGATCGTAGAATTCAATTAATCCTGTGAGGCATGTCTTGCCATTCCTGAAACCATGTTGGTGTTGTGTCACAAAGTTCCTTTGCTCTAGATGTTCCACTACGTTTTTTCGCACAATCTTCTCCATCAGCTTGCATGGTATGCAGGTTAGGGACACTGGCCTGTAGTTCAGTGCCTCCTGTCTATCCCCCTTCTTGTATATCGGGACTACGTTTGCCGTCTTCCAAATTTTTGGCAGTTTACCTGTTACCAGTGATTTGTTATATACCATGGAGAGTGGCAGGCACAGTGCTTCTGCTCTTTCCTTTAGTATCCGTGGTGACATTCCATCCAGGCCTATAGCCCTTGACATATCCAACTCTAGCAAAAGCTTCCTTACATCCCCACTGATAATCTCAAATTCATCTATGGTTAACTATTGCCTGGTTAATTATTGCTTCTCTTATCTCTGGAACTTCTCCTTGCTCTAATGTGAAGACTTCCTGGAATTTCTTATTGAGTTCCTCGCACACTTCTTTGTCGTTTGTAGTGAATCTGTCTGCCCCTATCCTCAGTTTCATAACCTGTTCCTTCACTGTTGTCTTTCTCCTGATGTGGCTATGCAGCAGTTTGGGTTGAGTCTTTGCCTTGCTTGCTATGTCGTTTTCATATTGCCCTTCTGCCTCTCTTCTCACCCTGACGTATTCATTCCTGGCACTCTGGTATCCTTCTCTGCTCTCAAGTGTCCTGTTATTTCTATAGTTTCTTCACGCTCTTTTAATTTGCTGCCAAGCTAGCTTACATCTCTGATTAAACCATGAGTTTCTCATCTGCATTTCATTTTTTACCTTTTGGGCCGGGATAAACTTTTCTGCTGCCTCCTTGCACTTCTGTGTGATGTATTCCATCATGTCTTGGGCCGTCTTTCCCCTGAGCTCTGTTTCTCATGTTATATCCGTTAGGAATTTTTTCATCTCATAGTTTCCCTTACGGAATGCCAGCCTTTTGCTTTCAGTTCCCTTTCTCGAGTACTTTAACCGTTCTTCAACCAGATACTCAAACGTCAGTACACTATGATCGCTCATTCCTACTGGGGCCTCGAAGTAAATTTCCCTTATGTCTGAGTCATTCAGAGTGAAGACTAGGTCGAGTCTCACTGGTTCATCGTTTTCCCTCATTCTTGTGGGTTCCCTGACATGTTGATTAAAAAAAAAATTGTTGTCACCTCCAGTAGTTTAGCTCTCCATGTTTCCTCTCCTCCATGCGGTTCCTTGTTGTCCCAGTCTATCCTTCCATGATTGAAGTCCCCTATGATGAGCAGATGGGATCGAATTCTACAGGCAGCAGAGGCTGCCCTCTCAATTATATTAACTGCCATGTTGTTGTTGTCATACTCTTGCCTGGCTCTTCTGTCGTTTGGTGGAGGGTTATATATCACTGCTACTACTACTCTTGGTCCTCCCATTGTCATGGTGCCTGTTATGTAGTCTCTAAATCCTTCACAGCCTGGGACGACCATCTCCTTGAAACTCCATTCCTTTCTCTTGAATATGGCCACTCCGCATCCTCCCCTACCCTCCCTCTCTTTCCTTATTACAGTGTAGTCCTGGGGGAACATCGCATTCGTTATGATTCCTGAGAGTTTTGTTTCCATGAGTCCAATTACATCTGGGTTTACTTCTTGTGCTCTTTCTCTAAGTTTACTTGCCTTGCTTGTAATCCCATTTATGTTTGAGTACATCACCTTGAAGATGACTCTTTTCTGTCCATCCTGTATGTGTATGTGTACTCACCTAGTTGTACTAACCTAGTTGTGTACTCACCTAATTGTGTGAGTGTGTGTTTGTGTTCACCTAGTTGTGCTTGCGGGGGTTGAGCTCTGCTCTTTCGGCCTGCCTCTCAACTGTCAATCAGTCAACTGTTACTAACTAACTTTTTTCCCCTCACACACACACACACACACACACACACAGGTAACAGGGGCATCTGGGTGAAAGAAACTCTGCCCATCTGTTTCCGCTGGCGCAGGGAATCGAACCCCGGACCGCTGGACTACGAATCCAGAGGCCTGCCCACTCATCCACCGGCCCCCAAAGATGTGTGTGCGTGTGAGTGAGTTGTAGCCTGTTCATATAGTTGTAAACTCCTCTAGACAAGATATTTGTGGGCATCAGAAGCAAGGCGACCATCGATCCTTGATGAACTCTGCTTGTTATTTTTCTCTCCTTGTCACTGGTTCCTCGTTATTGTCACTGGTTCCTCGTTATTGTCACTGGTTCCTCGTTATTGTCACTGGTTCCTCGTTATTGTCACTGGTTCCTCGTTGTTCTCACTGGTTCCTCATTGTTGTTCTCACTGGTTCCTCATTGTTGTTCTCACTGGTTCCTCATTGTTGTTCTCACTGGTTCCTCATTGTTGTTCTCACTGGTTCCTCATTGTTGTTCTCACTGGTTCCTCATTGTTGTTCTCACTGGTTCCTCATTGTTCTTGTAGCAGGAACTTTAGACAAGCCAGGACAGTCACTGGCGTGGACAGTACCAGGACAGTCACTGGCGTGGACAGTACCAGGACAGTCACTGGCGTGGACAGTTCCAGGACAGTTACTGACGTGGACAGTACCAGGACAGTCACTGGCGTGGACAGTACCAGGACAGTCACTGACGTCGACAGTACCAGGACAGTCACTGGCGTGGACAGTACCAGGACAGTCACTGGCGTGGACAGTACCAGGACAGTCACTGGCCTGGTCAGTACCAGGACAGTCACTGGCGTGGACAGTACCAGGACAGTCACTGACGTCGACAGTACCAGGACAGTCACTGGCGTGGACAGTACCAGGACAGTCACTGGCGTGGACAGTACCAGGACAGTCACTGACGTGGACAGTTCCAGGACAGTCACTGGCGTGGACAGTACCAGGACAGTCACTGACGTGGACAGTTCCAGGACAGTTACTGGCGTGGACAGTACCAGGACAGTCACTGGCCTGGCCAGTACCGGGACAGTCACTGACGTGGACAGTACCAGGACAGTCACTGATGTGGACAGTACCAGGACAGTCACTGACGTGGACAGTACCGGGACAGTCACTGACGTGAACAGTACCAGGACAGTCACTGGCGTGGACAGTACCAGGAGTCACTGACGTGGACAGTACCAGGACAGTCACTGATGTGGACAGTACCAGGACAGTCACTGACGTGGACAGTACCAGGACAGTCACTGGCGTGGACAGTACCAGGACAGTCACTGGCGTGGACAGTACCAGGACAGTCACTAACGTGGACAGTACCAGGACAGTCACTGACATGGACAGTACCAGGACAGTCACTGACGTGGACAGTACCAGGACAGTCACTGACGTGGACAGTACCAGGACAGTCACTAACGTGGACAGTACCAGGACAGTCACTGATGTGGACAGTACCAGGACAGTCACTGACGTGGACAGTACCGGGACAGTCACTGACGTGGACAGTACCAGGACAGTCACTAACGTGGACAGTACCAGGACAGTCACTGACATGGACAGTACCAGGACAGTCACTGACGTGGACAGTACCAGGACAGTCACTGACGTGGACAGTACCAGGACAGTCACTGGCGTGGACAGTACCAGGACCGTCACTGGCGTGGACAGTACCAGGACCGTCACTGGCGTGGACAGTACCAGGACAGTCACTGACGTGGACAGTACCAGGACAGTCACTGACGTGGACAGTACCAGGACAGTCACTGACGTGGACAGTACCAGGACAGTCACTGACGTGGACAGTACCAGGACAGTCACTGACGTGGACAGTACCAGGACAGTCACTGGCGTGGACAGTTCCAGGACAGTCACTGGCGTGGACAGTACCGGGACAGTCACTGACGTGGACAGTACCGGGACAGTCACTGACATGGACAGTACCGGGACAGTCACTGACATGGACAGTACCGGGACAGTCACTGGCGTGGACAGTACCGGGACAGTCACTGACATGGACAGTACCGGGACAGTCACTGGCGTGGACAGTACCGGGACAGTCACTGACGTGGACAGTTCCAGGACAGTTACTGACGTGGACAGTACCAGGACAGTCACTGGCGTGGACAGTACCAGGACAGTCACTGGCGTGGACAGTTCCAGGACAGTCACTGGCGTGGACAGTTCCAGGACAGTCACTGGCGTGGACAGTTCCAGGACAGTCACTGGCGTGGACAGTTCCAGGACAGTCACTGGCGTGGACAGTTCCAGGACAGTTACTGGCGTGGACAGTTCCAGGACAGTCACTGGCGTGGACAGTTCCAGGACAGTCACTGGCGTGGACAGTACCAGGACAGTCACTGGCGTGGACAGTACCAGGACAGTCACTGGCGTGGACAGTACCAGGACAGTCACTGGCGTGGACAGTACCAGGACCGTCACTGGCGTGGACAGTACCAGGACAGTCACTGGCGTGGACAGTACCAGGACAGTCACTGGCGTGGACAGTACCAGGACAGTCACTGGCGTGGACAGTACCAGGACCGTCACTGGCGTGGACAGTACCAGGAATGTCACTGCCGTGGACAGTACCAGGACAGTCACTGGCGTGGACAGTACCAGGACAGTCACTGGCGTGGACAGTTCCAGGACAGTCACTGGCGTGGACAGTACCAGGACAGTCACTGGCGTGGACAGTACCGGGACAGTCACTGGCGTGGACAGTACCGGGACAGTCACTGGCGTGGACAGTACCGGGACAGTCACTGGCGTGGACAGTACCAGGACAGTTACTGGCGTGGACAGTACCGGGACAGTCACTGGCATGGACAGTACCAGGACAGTCACTGACATGGACAGTACCGGGACAGTCACTGGCGTGGACAGTTCCAGGACAGTCAAACGTTGTGATGGACCAGTTTAGATGGGCCTGAATTAAAGAAAATATTAAAAACTCTTACCTATTTCCTTGAAATAACTTATTGTATACGTTTCCTACATTTTCCTGGAAAAAGAAGACTTTGAAAACATTGCAATTAGAAGAGAGAGAGAGAGAGAGAGAGAGAGAGAGAGAGAGAGAGAGAGAGAGAGAGAGAGAGAGAGAGAGAGAGAGAGAGAGAGAGAGAGAGAGAGAGAGAGTTAAAATAAAGAGAGAGTATATCCGAGGGCTGGCAGAGTGTCTGGGAATGGCTCCTGACACTAGGTGAAAAGAACCACACAAACTTTACACAGCTAACAGGCGGTCCAGGCGTCTTTGTTCTTTCAATTTCTCTTGGGTATCTTGCAAGCTGTTATCATGTCCCCTCTTAGTGTTTCCTTGTTTACAACAATCTGTCGCTTACCACAACACCCCCACACAGGTGTCCCCCGGATGGTTGGAGCCGCAGTCAGACCAGACGGACGAGGAGGGCCTCACAACATCGTCACTGCGGCTGCGGTTCTCGTTGCGGCCGCGGCAGTTGGAGGAGGGTGAGGTGCGGGTGGAGTGCATCTCTGAGATTCCCGGCGTGTACCGTGAGAGCTCGCAAGACGTCCTCAGCACCAGCCCGCCCTACCATGCCTCCGTCAGGGGCGGTAGTGCTGCGCCAGGTCAGCGATGGTTGTTGTTGTTATAGATTCAGCTACTCGGAACAAGTTCCAAGTAGCACGGGCTATGGTGAGCCCGTAACTTACCTGGCACAGGAGCGGGGCAAGTAGCACGGGCTATGGTGAGCCCGTAACTTACCTGGCACAGGAGCGGGGCAAGTAGCACGGGCTATGGTGAGCCCGTAACTTACCTGGCACAGGAGCGGGGCAAGTAGCACGGGCTATGGTGAGCCCGTAACTTACCTGGCACAGGAGCGGGGCAAGTAGCACGGGCTATGGTGAGCCCGTAACTTACCTGGCACAGGAGCGGGGCAAGTAGCACGGGCTATGGTGAGCCCGTAACTTACCTGGCACAGGAGCGGGGCAAGTAGCACGGGCTATGGTGAGCCCGTAACTTACCTGGCACAGGAGCGGGGCAAGTAGCACGGGCTATGGTGAGCCCGTAACTTACCTGGCACAGGAGCGGGGCAAGTAGCACGGGCTATGGTGAGCCCGTAACTTACCTGGCACAGGAGCGGGGCCGTCTGTGGAGTGCTGGTGTTGGGTAGTGTTGCACTCTGTCACGACCCTTGAGACTAAATAATGTTCTTCTCCCCACAGTGTAAAGAACCACTAAAAATCTGCCATGCCAATAGGTGTCTAGGGGTATAATTAATCACTGTATAAAAACGGGAGAACAATATATTTTGCTAAGGGTGACAACTTAACAACAATTAAATAAATAGTAGCCAGAAATATTTATCAGCATGTGATACTATAGAATACAAGTCATTATTTGAGACCTGAGCACTATCACCAGAATATAGAGTAAGCCATAAATACACTAAAATCGTCTATCCAGATAAATTAATATTTATATGGGCTTAAAATAACAAAAACCAAGAACTTAGCTTAAACACAACTGCACTCGACCGCAGCCGCCACTCTACTGCCCAGGACGTGGTCCGCAGGCCCAACGTCGACTAACCGTCTACCCAAACACCAATTAACGTTCGCATGAACATTGTGAACATTCTATTTACAAAGGTCAGCCCTAAACTCCAACATTATTAACTAAGAGTTGTAATTACCGGTCTCACATTCCTTGAAATATTACGGCTACCAAATATGGGAATAAATAAATATAAAACTATAGGCAATTGATTTGCCAACAATCGCCCTGGCCATTCCCAAATATTGTCAACCGCCCACACGGCTAATTTCACGTGACATCCACCACCAAAACAAACCTTACACACACTACCCAGCTATCTATGTTATATATATATAATGTATATATATCTATATACACAAATCTTATACAACTAACAGCAATATTTACGTAGAGAAAACAATAACATAATACGAGGTTCGGGAGAATTGGCAGAATCGTAATAAGATTCGTGACACACTCCTACATTTACTTGTGGAGACTTAGTACATTGATTGCTCAACTCGTTGATTAATCAGTTGATTGACGTCAATACTTAAATTATTTCAAAATTAAATTAAGTGTATACTAATAAATATAACATTAAACGTAAATATTTAACGTGAATAATAGCAGCAGAATCTGTGGCTTGGGGCTAGCCTCTTCGATAAAAGGAAAAGATCTTGGTGACTGGAACATCATCAGTGCGCCTGCCACGGACGAGAGTAAACTGTATCACTCATGTCCTCACCTAGTTGTGCTTGCGGGGGTTGAGCTCTGACTCTTTGGTCCCGCCTCTCAACTGTCAATCAACTGGTGTACAGATTCCTGAGCCTATTGGGCTCTATCATATCTACACTTGAAACTTTGTATGGAGTCAGCCTCCACCACATCACTTCCTAATGCATTCCATTTGTCAACCACTCTGACACTAAAAAAGTTCTTTCTAAGAACTTCGACAATCTCTGAGGTGCTCTATTTACATCTATCCCCCGGCATGACACACTTCTACCAGCAAGTGTTGCTCAATTATGATAGGACTACAGTCACAACTTGGAGCAGGGGAGGGGGGCTGCTGACCAGATAACTAGGCATATGGTAGGTGTGACCCATACTCAAACGACCACATCATCCATGGCATCTGGGGATACATCCAGGGATGAACCATCTTTGTCTCCAGCTACTTGGGGTTGACAGTGGCATTCCAATAATGCTGATTGATTGATTGATAAAGATTAAGCCACCCATGAGGTGGCACGGGCATGAATAGCCCGTAAGTGGTGGCCCTTTTGAGCCATTACCAGCATCAATAGAGGATACTGGAGATCTGTGGAGGTGCGACTGCACCCTGCGTGACGGGAGATGTCTCCCGTCCCAATAATGCTGCCAAGACGCAGCTCTTCTAGTCCCCAGAGAAACGTCACCCAAAGGAAGAGCCTAACCTAACGAAGAGCAAGTTGGCAAGAGGCACATATTGACCACATCAGCTCACTCACTGCCAGGCACAATAGTATGTTCCTCACACAACAGAAATATACTTGGCATCCATACCTCCAGAAACAACGTCGGCGTCAGATTTATACCAGGATGTACAGAGAGCTCTCTAGGAGGGGAAAGTGCTTGAAGGTTATTAGACATTAGTCTTTATTGCAAAAGGTATGTCTTTGTCTTAGTTGCTCTTAGCACCAGTGAAGCACCTGCAGTTCACACTCTCTGAAAGAACCCGAGGAACGCCAGCTACAGCACACTACAATTTACAATATACATTTACATTTCTCACCTTGAAATCCAGACTGTTGCTTCTCGGTAATGTGGGATACTTCTGTATTGTCACCACCCGTGATCACAGGTACAGTAAACATGCTGGTGTTTCATTTTCAATTGTTAAGAGTACATTAGAGCAAATTAACCAACCACTCATGTGCAGAATATGACCACAATAGCCTGAAGGCTGAGCCATAATGACGATGTAATGCTAGAGTAAAGCAACACCTCATTTTACTACAAGTACGCCAATGTACACTACAATGTATATGTATAAGGCTTGCCAATATCAACACTTCATCCATACTATCTTGCCTATTGTATGTTTATTAACACTGATGTGATTAATATCAATATGTGCACACTTGCGCACTTATAAAGTATTGTTAAGCTCTCAAATATTAGGAAATATTCATCCTGTTATTCTTTCCACTTCGTGAAGATATCTAAATATTCCATGTTGATGCATCAGGTGGGTGACGGGTTAGTGGTAGTGTAGTGGTGGCAGTGCATCAGGTGGGTGACGGGTTAGTGGTAGTGTAGTGGTGGCAGTGCATCAGGTGGGTGACGGGTTAGTGGTAGTGTAGTGGTGGCAGTGCATCAAGTGGGTGGGGGGAGTTAGGGGGAGTGCATCAGGTGGGTGGGGGGAGTTAGGGGGAGTGCATCAGGTGGGTGGGGGGAGTTAGGGGGAGTGCATCAGGTGGGTGGGGGGAGTTAGGGGGAGTGCATCAGGTGGGTGGGGGGAGTTAGGGGGAGTGCATCAGGTGGGTGGGGGTGTTGCGTTAGCATGGAGCCTAGAGGGTAGTGCAGCTCTGGGGTAGAGACCAACCATGTTCCTAACGATATGTATCTCTCGTCTCCCGCGCTCAGCAGGTACCCGTGTGTGGCCAAGCCCGCTGGCTCTCGCTCTCTCTCTGCTCCTCCTCGCACCCATTGCCACTCACCCACTCCTCTGAGGGCCTCCACATTGCCCCGATGCCCTCACCCACCCGACATCCAGGAGTATTGCGATCTTCACCCGCCTACTTGCCAACGACCTCCAGAAACACCTCCGTTGTTCCTTCGGTGTGAGGACATCCTTACGCATGCAGAGCCATACGAAACTTCTTCATCCGACATGGAATCTAGCGCAACAGCAGCAGCAGTGTTCCTTCCAGCAGCAGCAGCAGCAGCAGCAGGCAGCAGCAGTGTTCCTTCCAGCAGGCAGCAGCAGCAGAAGTGTTTCTCCCACCGCCACCACCAACTGCTCATGACTCAAACACCCTCAAAGAAATCAGATCCTGAATTTTTGCTCATCCGCCCATGGGAACGGTAACTTTCACCCGCTCTCAAGTGTTATCATCCATTGCGTCATCCTTCCATCCACACTCATTGACAGAAGGACCCCTTACTTTCCCCATTAGCACCGTCAGTCTCGCCCTGTTGGTTGTAACATTCTTGTGAGAGTTGACTACTTTTATGAGAGTTGTAGCAGACTTTCATTGACACCCGTGCAAAGGCGCTCCATACATGCAATGGTGCGGGGCCTCTCCTGCAGGCTGTGGTGCAGGGCCTCTCCTGCAGGCTGTGGTGCAAGACCTCTCCTGCAGGCTGTGGTGCAGGACCTCTCCTGCAGGCTGTGGTGCAGGACCTCTCCTGCAGGCTGTGGTGCAGGACCTCTCCTGCAGGCTGTGGTGCAAGACCTCTCCTGAAGGTTGTGGTACAGTTGCTCTCCTGCAGGCTGTGGTACAGTTGCTCTCCTGCAGGCTGTGGTACAGTTGCTCTCCTGCAGGCTGTGGTACAGTTGCTCTCCTGCAGGCTGTGGTACAGTTGCTCTCCTGCAGGCTGTGGTACAGTTGCTCTCCTGCAGGCTGTGGTGCAGGACCTCTCCTGCAGGCTGTGGTGCAGGACCTCTCCTGCAGGCTGTGGTGCAAGACCTCTCCTGCAGGCTGTGGTGCAAGACCTCTCCTGAAGGCTATGGTACAGTTGCTCTCCTGCAGGCTGTGGTACAGTTGCTCTCCTGCAGGCTGTGGTACAGTTGCTCTCCTGCAGGCTGTGGTACAGTTGGTCTCCTGCAGGCTGTGGTACAAGACCTCTCCTGCAGGCTGTGGTACAAGACCTCTCCTGAAGTGCAAAGGCGCTCCATACATGCAATGGTGCGGGGCCTCTCCTGCAGGCTGTGGTGCAGGGCCTCTCCTGCAGGCTGTGGTGCAAGACCTCTCCTGCAGGCTGTGGTGCAGGACCTCTCCTGCAGGCTGTGGTGCAGGACCTCTCCTGCAGGCTGTGGTGCAGGACCTCTCCTGCAGGCTGTGGTGCAAGACCTCTCCTGAAGGCTGTGGTACAGTTGCTCTCCTGCAGGCTGTGGTACAGTTGCTCTCCTGCAGGCTGTGGTACAGTTGCTCTCCTGCAGGCTGTGGTACAGTTGCTCTCATGCAGGCTGTGGTACAGTTGCTCTCCTGCAGGCTGTGGTGCAGGACCTCTCCTGCAGGCTGTGGTGCAGGACCTCTCCTGCAGGCTGTGGTGCAAGACCTCTCCTGCAGGCTGTGGTGCAAGACCTCTCCTGAAGGCTATGGTACAGTTGCTCTCCTGCAGGCTGTGGTACAGTTGCTCTCCTGCAGGCTGTGGTACAGTTGCTCTCCTGCAGGCTGTGGTACAGGACCTCTCCTGCAGGCTGTGGTACAAGACCTCTCCTGAAGGCTATGGTACAGTTGCTCTCCTGCAGGCTGTGGTACAGTTGCTCTCCTGCAGGCTGTGGTACAGTTGCTCTCCTGCAGGCTATGGTGCAAGACCTCTCCTGCAGGCTGTGGTACAGTTGTTCTCCTGCAGGCTGTGGTACAGTTGCTCTCCTGCAGGCTGTGGTACAGTTGCTCTCCTGCAGGCTGTGGTGCAGGACCTCTCCTGCAGGCTGTGGTGCAGGACCTCTCCTGCAGGCTGTGGTGCAGGACCTCTCCTGCAGGCTGTGGTGCAGGACCTCTCCTGCAGGCTGTGGTGCAGGACCTCTCCTGCAGGCTGTGGTGCAGGACCTCTCCTGCAGGCTGTGGTGCAGGACCTCTCCTGCAGGCTGTGGTGCAGGACCTCTCCTGCAGGCTGTGGTGCAGGACCTCTCCTGAAGGCTGTGGTGCAGGACCTCTCCTGAAGGCTGTGGTGCAGGACCTCTCCTGCAGGCTGTGGTGCAAGACCTCTCCTGCAGGCTGTGGTGCAGGACCTCTCCTGCAGGCTGTGGTGCAAGACCTCTCCTGCAGGCTGTGGTGCAAGACCTCTCCTGCAGGCTGTGGTGCAAGACCTCTCCTGCAGGCTGTGGTGCAAGACCTCTCCTGAAGGCTATGGTACAGTTGCTCTCCTGCAGGCTGTGGTACAGTTGCTCTCCTGCAGGCTGTGGTACAAGACCTCTCCTGCAGGCTGTGGTACAAGACCTCTCCTGCAGGCTGTGGTACAAGACCTCTCCTGAAGGCTATGGTACAGTTGCTCTCCTGCAGGCTGTGGTACAGTTGCTCTCCTGCAGGCTGTGGTACAGTTGCTCTCCTGCAGGCTGTGGTACAGTTGCTCTCCTGCAGGCTATGGTACAGTTGCTCTCCTGCAGGCTGTGGTACAGTTGCTCTCCTGCAGGCTGTGGTACAGTTGCTCTCCTGCAGGCTGTGGTACAGTTGCTCTCCTGCAGGCTGTGGTACAGTTGCTCTCCTGCAGGCTGTGGTGACCTCTACTGCAATTCCTTTTATTACTTTTTATTTTTACCCTGCTCTGTATTCACAGCTATGACTTTCTAAGACATTTAACACACAAAATAAGTCCAACTCATTCCCAACTTAAAACTCATCATGTACATAATATCTAGTGCAATTCTGAGTGACAGACATTCTTCTAAGTCTGTAATATTCTCCAAAGCCCTAACCTTGTGTACGTACACTTAAGGTTGGTTTTCATGGGTGAAGGACCCAAGCTTCACCTCTCCTGATTAACTAAAATTTGTGTTATTGTCTGTTATGCTTCTCCTGCACACACAGAGATCACACTAACGTGATGCATCAAATGAACAAATCCACAAGGGTCGTGACGAGGATTCGAACCTGCGTCCGGGAGCATCCCAGACACTGCCTTAATCGACTGAGCTACGAGAGGGAAAAAAAAAAAAAAAAAAAAAAAAAGAGTTGAAACCGAAGTTCTACTGAACTTACTGGATCCCGTAGCCTCTCCGAGGCACAAACCAGGCTTTTACACAACCCCCCCCCCCCTGCACCCGGCACCCGAGCTATGTCAACAGGCCGTTCTCCCTCTTCGCCCTTACATCATCACAGGTTCGCAGGTTCGAATCCTCGTCACGGCCCTTGTGGATTTGTTCGCTTCTCCTGCACTTATAAGCAAGTTAATTTTTTGCTTAACACACCTTACATCAGCACTAAGCAGAAGGTAAAATTCCTGAAGAGTTGACATTCTTAATTTATGAGTTTCTTCCTTTGATTTCTACACTCAGGATAGATCCATAATTGGCTAAAGTGGACGTTTAAATTACACTTTTAACTCTAACCTCACTGGCTCGTGAGCTCAACAAATATGACTAATTACTAACTTGCTTGACTTTCACACTTAAAGAGCCCCATAGATAAGACTGATGACTTCGTAGGACTTGCGTCCCTCCAAAGGTACTCGAGGCATTCCTAAACAACATCCTGGGCTGGGATTCATCAAGTTTCATTACGTGTCCACTTACGATACCTGTACAGCATTCACTCATCACGACGGCTTCGTTTGTATTACACTCTTCACAATTTCCAAATGCTGAGAAATCACTCCAGCCACATCATAAAAGGTTATTGCCAAGGTTATTGCTCTGGACAACCTCTTTAGTGCTCAAGAGCGAGTAAATTGTGTAATACACACTGAACTGTTATGATTGAGGACAGATGGACATGTTTTGTGTGGCAACATATCTTCACAACATTGCCAGTGACCTCTAGAGGTTTCTTCAGACCTCCAACCCTAGATGACCTTTGGGGGTCAGATAAGGTCCCCTGAGGCACTGACACTCACATTGCTCATATGATCGTGCATATACGTGTGTGTGTGTGTGTGTGTGTGTGTGTGTGTGTGTGTGTGTGTGTGTGTGTGTGTGTGTGTGTGTGTGTGTGTGTGTGTGTGTGTGTGTGTGTGTATGTTTTGTTGTGAACAAGAACATGCCATAATATTTGTGTAAACATATGTGCTTGCTAAGGTATACGTGACTTTATATGTGCAGATGTGCATGTTTGTAGGCATGTGCATACACACAAGTATGCTTGCATGAATGTGCATATGCAACCGATCACACCATGCATAGTATGCATGCATGTCTATATAGAGACATGCATTTTTTATGTATACAGAGCCTGAACCTGTGTGTGTGTGTGTGTGTGTGTGTGTGTGTGTGTGTGTGTGTGTGTGTGTGTGTGTGTGTGTGTGTGTGTGTGTGTGTGTGTGTGTGTTAGTGACTGTTTTCTACTTAACCACGGATGTACATATCTGCGCAACAATGTGTACAAAACAATAAATTAATGAATAAGAAATTGTTGCTTAATTCACCTTTCATTTCCAATAATGTGATAAGGGAGAAGAGACAGGAGGAGGAGGAGACAATGGGAAGCTTCACCTACCATGACAACAAAATCACTAACGACGACGCCTAATACCACTACCAAGATTACTATCCTTAGCTCCATCAGCACCACCATCAGCACTATCAGTAGTCGATCTGTGACAAGTAAGGCGGTCAGGAGCCATTGCCAGCAACCGGGAGCTGAAGCTTGTCTTCAGGCGCATAAAAACAAGTGCCGGTACATTACATATAGGTGACAAAACACCTCCCAACAAAACATACACACAACAAATGCAGTAACACAACAAACATTCCCGGCTGTCGGTGTTGTCAGGCGTCACCGAGTCCGAGTCCGAGATTGTTGTGCTGTGCACTCTAGCGTGCCCTGGCACACGCGCCCCCTCGCAGGATAACATTTCATGCTCCTCATACAAGAGGAATGGCACAGCAAATCTCATTTTAAACAAAAATCATATTTTTAACAACACAGTTCATAAATGTGTACGTTTCACAAAGAGAGGGAATACAACAACTCCAAAGGAAATGTAGGTGTTTATCTCTCAGAATGTTTGGTAATGTTTATTGTTTGTGATGTGTGTCTATGTATATATTAACACGATGTACTGAACGGGGTGAGAATAGCCTTGAGCTACCTCATCCCTTTGTGTATTTTACATCAATAAACTTATTTCAATTACAATTTCAACAACTCCAATACCGGGGAATGCTTTTTTCACCTCACCAGGACTTTTGGTGGATAAAACTGTATAATAAATAATAATTTATATTTATAAAAATACATATAAACATGTTACAGTGGTTATTCAGTAGGTACAGAAATTATATATTATTAATTTATAGTAAATGGAGAACTGGTTGTACCCAGATTTCCTCACCCCCGGTCGGGGAGGGAGCCGGTCGGCCGAGCGGACAGCATGCTGGACTTGTGATCCTGTGGTCCTGGGTTCGATCCCAGGCGCCGGCGAGAAACAATGGGCAGAGTTTCTTTCACCCTATGCCCCTGTTACCTAGCAGTAAAATAGGTACCTGGGTGTTAGTCAGCTGTCATGGGCTGCTTCCTGGGGGTGGAGGCCTGGTCGAGGACCGGGCCGCGGGGACACTAAAAAAAAAAAGCCCCGAAATCATCTAAAGATAACCTCAAGATAACCCCCTCCCCCACCCCAGCCAACTCCCTTAACTACCCACCTTTTTCCCTCCTCATCTTTCTATCTCCCAACATCTCCCGTATCTCGTTCTCTCTCATATGATTTTTATATACGAGTTTTATATACAAGATTTTTATGAGTATATATATATATATATATATATATATATATATATATATATATATATATATATATATATATATATATATATATACACACACACACACATACACAAGAAGAACAGGTATTGAAACTTAGAACAGGCGAGGACAGGTATACAGAGAATGACAGAGAGGTGTGTGAGGAACTCAACAAGAGGTTCCAGGAGGTCTTCACAATAGAACAGGGTGAGGTCGCTGTGCTAGGAGAAAGGGAGGTAAACCAGGCGGCCTTGGAGGAGTTCGAAATTACGAGAGAGGAGGTCAAGAGACACCTGCTGGATCTGGATGTTAGAAAGGCGGTTGGTCCAGATGGGATCTCACCATGGGTACTGAAAGAGTGTGCAGAGGCACTTTGCTTGCCACTCTCCATAGTGTATAGTAAATCACTAGAGACGGGAGACCTACCAGAAATATGGAAGACGGCGAATGTGGTCCCAATATACAAAAAGGGCGACAGACAAGAGGCACTGAACTACAGGCCAGTGTCCTTGACTTGTATACCATGCAAGGTGATGGAGAAGATCGTGAGAAAAAACCTGGTAACACATCTGGAGAGAAGGGACTTCGTGACAAATCGCCAACATGGATTCAGGGAGGGTAAATCTTGCCTTACAGGCTTGATAGAATTCTACGATCAGGTGACACAGATTAAGCAAGAAAGAGAGGGCTGGGCGGACTGCATTTTCTTGGATTGTCGGAAAGCCTTTGACACAGTACCGCATAAGAGGCTGGTACATAAGCTGGAGAGACAGGCAGGTGTAGCTGGTAAGGTGCTCCAGTGGATAAGGGAGTATCTAAGCAATAGGAAGCAGAGAGTTACGGTGAGGGGTGAGACCTCTGATTGGCGTGAAGTCACCAGTGGAGTCCCACAGGGCTCTGTACTCGGTCCTATCTTGTTTCTGATATATGTAAATGATCTCCCGGAGGGTATCGATTCATTTCTCTCAATGTTTGCGGACGATGCTAAAATTATGAGAAGGATTAAAACAGAAGAGGACTGTTTGAGGCTTCAAGAAGACCTAGACAAGCTGAAGGAATGGTCGAACAAATGGTTGTTAGAGTTTAACCCAACCAAATGTAATGTAATGAAGATAGGTGTAGGGAGCAGGAGGCCAGATACAAGGTATCATTTGGGAGAGGAAATTCTTCAGGAGTCAGAGAAGGAAAAAGACTTGGGGGTTGATATCACGCCAGACCTGTCTCCTGCAGCACATATCAAGCGGATAACATCAGCGGCATATGCCAGGCTGGCAACATACGAACGGCATTCAGAAACTTGTGTAAAGAATCATTCAGAACTTTGTATACCACATATGTCAGGCCAATCCTGGAGTATGCAGCCCCAGCATGGAGTCCATATCTAGTCAAGGATAAGACTAAACTGGAAAAGGTTCAAAGGTTTGCCACCAGACTAGTACCCGAGCTGAGAGGTATGAGCTACGAGGAGAGACTACGGGAATTAAACCTCACTTCGCTGGAAGACAGAAGAGTTAGGGGGGACATGATCACCACATTCAAGATTCTGAAGGGGATTGATAGGGTAGATAAAGACAGTCTATTTAACACAAGGGGAACACGCACAAGGGGACACAGGTGGAAACTGAGTGCCCAAATGAGCCACAGAGATATTAGAAAGAACTTTTTTAGTGTCAGAGTGGTTGACAAATGGAATGCATTAGGGGGTGATGTGGTGGAGGCTCACTCCATACACAGTTTCAAGTGTAGATATGACAGAGCCCGATAGGCTCAGGAATCTGTACACCTGTTGATTGACGGTTGAGAGGCGGGACCAAAGAGCCAGAGCTCAACCCCCGCAAACACAACTAGGTGAGTACAACTAGGTGAGTACACACACCACCTCTGGTGCAATTGCAGGGACCCACATCCTCGAAGAAGAAAACAAAGAGCTTTCAGAAATCTTGTGGATTCTCACTGAACACTTTATTCTTTTCTTCTCCAACCACCCCTATTATTTTTGTTATGTTTTTTGTTTTGCTTTATTTTTTTTTATTTTATTGCAATGCTACAGTTTACAGAGAACACACATATATATATAAATAACAATATAACAATCAGCGTACGAAGACCTCGTCGTGTTGGATGCGTACCCAGGATACAGCACACATTTCCCCTCTGAACTGCGACACTGAGGCGCTGGAACAGGAAACTGGCCGCTCATGGGTCTCTAGTTTTCCCAACGAGTTCCTCACCCACCTCCTTTGGAAGCTAACCCCAAGCATCTGGCATCCAAACCAAAAAGTAACAGACAACATTCTATTTTATGTAGATTATCATCTTGTCTTCCTCCTCATCTACGTACTCAATTTAATCACTCCACTCTGGCTCTCACAAGGCAGGTGCCCTACACTTGCAAATATCTGAGTCTACTATCTACCACCTCACAAACTCTTCCACCACTCAACCCACCTTGTTTAGCACTGACCAATTGTATTAAATACAATTGGTCAGTGCTAAACAATCAGTACAATACCAAGCACTGTACTATCGTATTAAACACTATTCTAATGTACACTGGCTGCTACATGCAGTACTGTATACTAATACCTCTGTAGTTTTACACTCAATTTTTGTTACACGTGGGTACAACCAAAGCTCATTTTCCAATGATCTGGCCGTGTCACTATTTCATGTTTTCTGGTATTTTCTCACCTTCACTCTTCCCTCTAATCACTTCATCATCCACACCAACAACCTTCTCACATTTCAGTTGACCAAATTCACTTATCACTTTCATGGATGTGTGCTTACCTATCACTGACAATGAGGGAGTGAGATTTAGCTTTCTCAATACTGACATTTTCATCACGTTTCTTCTTAAAGTTGAGTACAGTAGTTTAGTGGTCAACAAACTTGTCTCTCGCTCACGGATCCTGAATTCGGTCCTCAGGTCAGGCGTGGTTAGGCAAGTTTACCCTTTAAACTGATGACTAGCAATTAAGTGCGTACCCAGGAGTTATCCAATTGTTGTGCATTGCATCCTGTGGAGGGTCCTCAGTTGGCCAAGAAGGATCTTAACAAGCCTAAGAACAAACTTCTTGTTCCTAACAACAGAATTAATATATATACCTTGCACTACTGTATTACCATACTGTCTAATGTTTACAATTGCATATTTTTCCTCAACTGAAACCATCACATTTTCAAGGTAGGGAAGAGCTGGAATGTTTTGCCAACTAAATATTTAACTTTCTGAGCATTATAGTCCACATTCCTATTTATTTATAGCCTATGGCCTAGGCTACAATTCTCAGGCCACTGTTTGTACTGTAATAGAATTTAAACATTAAAAGGATAATTTCAAGTGGCAAACTTTTCCTTACCTGGTCATAGGTTTACATATCTTTCTCCCACTCTGCCTCTGCTCATCACAAAAAAGATAAAGAATTTTATTTTACAGTTTGAGATAGTAAACAGGGAAAAGTACAGTATTTGATAAAAAGTATATTTAGTTCAACAAAATATACAGTAACAAGTAAAAAATACAAAATGCTTAACAAATAGTGTATATTTAAACACATCAAAATATGGTCTAACAATCATGAAACTTGACATTGCAAGAAAATCTTACTTTCTGCAGCGGGACTGAGACAAAATATTACCTGCACGAATAAGTCTAAATGAAGCAGTATAATACAGCACTAGATCTAACACCAAAAGCTAAGAGCATTTAGTTGTGTCGGCTCGTCACACACAGCATGAGAGGACCAGCCACCTTAAACATCCACGGAAACTTCCCTAATAAACGCAAATTAAATCGCTAAATAAAATCTACCAGAAATCTCAATCACATTTTTATGTAACAATAATTAAAAAAAAAACGGCATTGAATGTAATGAAATGCCATTTTCTGGGTGAGCCCCGGAGGCTTCCTGAAACTATCCGAACTGATATGTGCTATAATAGTTTGGGGTCATCAGTCACAGGAGTCCTTATGCCACTGGGAACCACAAGCCAGAACCTGGTCCCCTCAGAGAGGCGCAGAGAGCAATGGTCTATGAGCACTTTACATTTAAAGTATGTCATAATTGCCATTGACTGGGAAAGGACCTAGGAAGGAAGGTGAATCAAAACAGGCCACTGTCTGGTTAACCTGTGCAATCTACATCACAAAAGATCAAAATAACTCCACTAGAAAGAAACCAAACAAGCAACCCTTCATGCGACTAGCACTTCTACTCGTTAACACTACCCCTCCCTCGGGGGGGAAGGGGGAGCCAGCAGCCCACCACACCAGTTCTTGAACGATGAAAAACCGCCGACCGGAGGGAGGGAGGGTGTTAGGGAGCCTCTGGGACTCACCGAGAAAATGGTGTTTCATTACATTCAATGCTGGTTTTCTGTGGGGAGCCCCATCAGCTCCCTGAAGCTAACTACAGAAAGTAAAAGGAGTAGCGGAAGGCGGCAGCACCGCAGGTCTCAAGATGATGAACAAGGCATAAGAACTCCTGTGACTGATGGTTCCCAAACTAATATAGTACATATCAGTTCAGATAGCTTCAAGGGAGCCGACGGGGCTCCCCACAAAAAATATAATCAAAATAAAATAAAATAAAAATCTCACCTCTTCGAGTTACATGCACAACATTTCTTCTCAAATGGTGCCATGCTGGTTGCCATGTTATGGAGCATCAACTGTGTAGTTAGCTCCCTTTACACTATGGATGCTCTTTAACACACAAACCTCTGATGAGTTTTTCTAACCCCAGGGAGAGCCCTAACACCTCTTCCCCATGCTATTCATCCACATTGATAAATCTCATTCTTAATATAACAAATACTAATAGAGTTGAGCTAGAAAGTGGATAAGGTAAAGTACAGTAAATAAATACACGAAGCATTGATTCATTTTGTTAAATCAATTTTCAGCTCTTTCTGAATTCTAAGTCAGCTATGAGAGGGATATGATCGGATGGGAACGTAACGCTGGGAAGAGCACCATACTCGGTAACCTCCTGGTGAGATGGCATCGGTATCACCTGAAAATAAAATAACATGCCATTGCTACAAGACAGTACAGTATTTTAATAATATACAAACTTACCTATGCATCCTGTTTTATTAATTATAAAAAATTCAGTTTTTCTTAACACTTGACATGTGCGTGACAATGAGGGATGCTCCCACCTCTTATGATCTCACAGTGAGAGACAATGATGGTACCATTTATGGTACCCTCATGAAAATTTAAAATGGCAATGAGAAACAAGTACCACATAACATTTAAAACTCCTGCAGGTACACGGGGCCCACATCTGTTTCCTCAGGCCTCCAGTAAAGAGATGCATCTTGGAACAAAATCCTGAGCCCCCTCCTGGGTGTGAGGGGCCTCAGTATTGAGAGTGCAACCATGCAACAGCAGCTCACAGTGCTGTCATATAGCTCATACCCACAGCCTCACTGTGCTTTTCTATACCTAACAACCCTCCCCCCCCCCTCCCTGGTGTGCAAAAAACTAAATTCTTTCTAATATTGTTAAAATGTGCAGGTAATTAAAATGACCTGCACATATAAGATTACAACAGTACTTCCCCCTGTACATCTCTAACAGAAATCACTCTTGAACTACAGTCTTGCATCACAGAACCTGCCCAATGTGCTGCAATGCATCCTGCACACTATCATTCCCCTATCAAGATATCAATGATAATGTTTACACTGTACTTTCATTTTACATAATTGGCGAGTGTAGAAATCTATTTTATAAAGTAAATTCTAATAAATAGTGTTTGTTTGGTTTCTTTCTAGAGGAGTTATTTTGATCTTTTGGGATGTAGATTGCACAAGTTAACCAGACAGTGGCCTGTTAACTTGAAATTTCCCATTTCGTGAATTGGAAACAGTGTGGGAACTTAACAATAATGGTCCGGTGTTTTATTGTGACAGGAGTGCAAAAACAGGTGAACTTGGGTCTCTCTCTGGAATGAATCTTACCCAAAATATCCAACGTGTATTTTGTGTAAATTCCCTTATGACGATATTTTACTAGCCTGAATACCTCGTGCAAGGTGAGGATTCATTGTACTGTAAATTATTTAAAGGAACTGCATTATGCTGCACAGACTAGATGACATTAATAACACACCTGTTTCACAATAAACTTGTCTGTCTGATAAAAGATGTAGTCCAAGCAGCCAGAGAAGGTGACAGTATAGGTAGTGTATGGAGGACACCCACAGGCACTGGCCAAGTCCAAATCATGACTCAAGCACATACCCTCGACACACTCACTATATTCTGAAAAAAGTTACATGTCAAGAAATTAGTTTTATCATTTATACTGTGGAATTAACCTTTCCTATATTTTCTCCTAAGATCATCTGGCCATATGAAGCACCGAAGTGTTGCTGTAGATGACTGCTAAAGTGTGGGGCTGCTTCTTTATCCCTGATGCTGTATATTGCGTATGATATATAAAGCAGGAAAATGAGTAATGATATTCAAAAATGCTGTGAGTGAAAATATATGAACGCAAGTGTATATAGGACTGTATTTAAAAAGGCGCAGAGTAAGAAGTTAAATATTTCATGAATTACAATGTAATAGGAATTCCCCTCATATATGAAGACTAAGTATTTCACATTTAATGCAGATGAAAATTATCCTCCATACAATACTTACTGCTTTTCCAAACATCATCATCACTTCCAACGTGTTGCTTCGTCATAAATCGGTAAACTGCTGATTTGGGGGTACTATTGAAGTCCCCACAAAAGAGCAGGGAAACTTCCTTATCTGGATACTGCAAGAAATAAAGTAGTATTTTCAACCAACCAAAGACTGTACAGTATATCTTAATTTTACAATGATGAATTGGTCAGGAACATAATGATTACAAATACTTATTACTCAGATCACAACCTAATTGAAGTTCAGACATGCCTGGCCAATAAACTTGTGCAGTCAGTATCAAATCCAAGAGGAGAATAATCCAGCAAAATTCAACTTTAATAACAAACAGATCAACTTGGAACAAATAGACCAAACTTTCACAGAATTATGCTGGGGGAAAGCTTACTAGATAATGCAAACTTCAACCAGAGCTTTGAGAAAATAGGCACAGTAGCCCTAGAAATATGTGCATGCCACATACCACTAACGAGAGAAAGAAAAAGATAGGCAAATTGAAGCGGCAAACACGCCACTATCCCAAGAACGACAAAGAAAGCTATGTTGAGAAATAGAAATGATTGACCTACAGTTGCAAGAATCATATAAAATCCAGGAGAGGCAGAGAGAGCAAATGCCTGTAAGTGAAGTTGAGAGGTATCCAAAATATTCTTCCCTTATACAAAATCTAGAACAAAAACTACATCTTGCATTGAGCCCTTGGTACAAGGCTGGTGGAAATTTCACAGATGACAACAGAGAAATGAGTGAAATACTGAGGCTACCCTACATTTCTGTTTTAAGTGAACCACTGAACACATTGAATAATCAAACTAATTCTTTCTGAAAGTTACACCATCATTGAACCTATATCAAATGTCATGCTAACCCCACTGGACTTTGAAATAGCTATAAACAGCATGGAAAATCACAAAAATCAGACCACAAAACCCATGCAACCACAGTGTCTACACAACCCTTGGCAACACGGGTTCAGGACTGGGCACTCCTGCTTCAACCACAGTGTCTACACAACCCTTGGCAACACGGGTTCAGGACTGGGCACTCCTGCATCACACAATTGCTACACCACTATAAACATGGTCTTAGCTGCCATCTCGGACTAGCAAAGTGTCGATGTAATACACAATTTTACCAAAGCCTTCGACAAATGTGACCATGGTGTTATTCCACACAAAATGAATGACTGGCAAAGTAGGGAGATAGATCTTTAACTTTAATTTGAAAAATTGACTGCAGAATTATTGCACTCCAAGCAAATGAACATTGCATATCTGAGGAGAACTGGGTGAAAGATTTACGTCAGTGATGCATACTGCATCTTTAGAACAGGAATATAAAGTTACTTTGAATGACAAAATGTATCATTGAAATGCAAGTGTTAATGAGACTTTTATGCCCTCAATGTGATGAGTGTAACAACTATACTATAATATTAAGAGAGTAGAATACAGAATGCAAAACAGAGCACTAAAAAACCAGCGTTGAATGTAATGAAACGCCATTTTCTGGGTGAGACCCGGAGGCTCCCCGGAGCTTTACCGGCTGATATGCTAATGTCAGACTTTGGCATCAGTCATGTGTATGGAGTTCTAGGGCCTACCGGGGACCACGAGCCAGAACCTGGCCCCCTCAGAGAGGCAAGGGGAGCAATGGCCTATAGAAACCCCCGTGTGGTTGGAAGCATTCTATGTCTGCCATCGACCGGGTCAAGCATCCAGAAAGGTAAGCATTCCAAAACAAACCCCTATTCTGGTGAAAATTGCTACCTAAGCCGAACTAGTGAATAGAACTCTTCAACAGAAAACACGGAAACTAGTATGACGTCATACGTCACCGCGCCGCTGTCTGCGCAGCTCCCCCCTCCCCGGGAGGGGGAAGGGGGAGCCCCAGACCTCCCACGCCGGCTATCCACCCATCAGTTCTGAGGCTGGATGTCAAAACACGCGAAAAACGCCGACCGGAGGGAGGGAGGGTTGCCGGGGAGCCTCCGGGTCTCACCCAGAAAATGGCGTTTCATTACATTCAACGCTGGTTTTCTGGGGGGAGCCCCGTCGGCTCCCCGGAGCTAACTACCCACAGAGGAAGGTCAAAGGGACAAAACCGGGAGGCGGACACCACGCACCCCCCAAGGAGGCGAGACAACCGGCAGCAAACGCCAACCCAAGGCGCCACAGCCCCGAAAATCCCGGGAACAACACGAGAACCACGAGCAGCAAGGCCCCTGCACGAACACCAAAAATCCATGCTCGAAAGACTGCAAGGCCACGTCGCCCAGACGGCAGCGAGAGCAGCGAAGCCACGAACGCCACAGGCATGAGGGAAGAACACAGGCAGCTTAGCCGCAAGAACACGGCTGACCACCCGGGACACCATCACCCGCGAACCGGGAAGAACAGAACCGGATCAACGCAAAACGCGCTCCGGACCCAAACGCCGTGGCACGCAAACAACAGCAGAGGGCCGCCACTGAACACAAAAACGACACACCCCCGGCCCGACCAACAAAGCACCAACAAACCCTGGACCCCTCCAGAATGCAGCAGCCCCACCCCCCGCCAGAAAAGATGGAGACTGCTGCCATCAAACAACCAAAACGCTAAAACCGAAGGAGCAAGAAAACACAGCGAACCGACCCCCAGAGGCAAAGGCCCAAAGGAAAGAGCCGACGAAAAAACACACCGGAACCGAAGGGGCACTACCAACCGAGGAGAAGACAGAGCACGCTGACCAGAGACCAGGATGGTGCAAGCGGCGCACGAACAGGCCGGAGGTGAAATGACGCACAAGACAGCTGACTAACGGTGCAGAAGCAACACCAAGACCGAAAGCAAGCTGAAGCGGCTCCGCCTGCGCCGCACGAAAAGAGGCGACAGTATGTGGCAAGACGACGGCCCCCAACCCCTACTAGAAAACCAAGCCGAGAGTAAACCAAGCCAACAAGAAGGACCCACCGAAGAAGGGACAGGAAAAGGAAGGACCGCCAAAATACCCCATACTGCCGCCAAGAAAGCACGCAGGTGGGACACCTACCACGAAGCCACCTGACCACCAACCGGAGGCGAGACCACGAGGCAGAACATAAGCAGCCCCGACAAGGCCCCCCCCGAGCCCAGGAAAAAGGCGGAGCCGCGAGAAGATCTCGGGCGCGACCACCGAAACCCAGGCGGCACAAGGAGATGGAACGTCTGCCGAACAGAAAAACTCCGAAGCATGCAAGCCCGCCAGGAGTTCAGAAACGACGGGTCCGACGCGAGACATCGCAAGAACCCCCCCAAAAAAAGTAAAACAACAACAACCGGCAGGGCAAGCTAGGAAAACCAAAGAAGGCGGAAGGGTCGCCGCCAGAACAGGACCCGAACCAAGGGGCACGAACAACTGCAACAGACCGAGACAAAGAAGCACATCACAGGACACAGGCTGACAAACGCCTAAGAACACACGCAGAACATTCCTGCTGCAGAAGAGGCAGGAAGAAAGAGCAGAAGCACAAAAAAAAAAAAAAAAACCAGGAGAACAACCAGGGGTGGACAATCAGGCAGGGACAAAAACCCCACGCAATCCCCAGGCACAAAACGGCAGCAAAGCGTCACTTCACAACCGGACACAGGAACAAGGACACGCCACCGTGAAACACGGTACCAATGCTCACGTGCAGCAGCAGCAGCAACAGGCACCACTGCAACATGCAACATGTAAATAGCAACTCCCCTCTGCAAAGGCAGAGAACGGAGCAGGCAGACCCCAGACAGGGCCAACGGAGACACGACAAAACCCTGCAGGCCCAGAAACCTGCACCAGGCGACCGACGGCGGAGAAAACCCCGCTCGATACCTGCTGGATGAGGTACTGGGAGCTCTTTTACACCTCAAGCCCGGCCCAAGGTCAGGCCAGACCGGCCAGAGGATGGCCCACCAGGCAGCTGCTAGGAGCAGTCCACCGGTCCACATACCCCCACAACCAGGACGGGCCGGAACTGCCATACGAAAACAGGCCAGTGCGCCCTGGAAGTCCACGGACGAACCAGCAAGAAGGCTTATGCTCGCAAGTAGGTCGTGTAACAAGCACAGACCACTGATGGTAATACAGTGTTCCCCAAAAGTGCCAATAGCACCACTGCACTCCGCTGGTACTATCCCGCAAGTTCTACCAGATAGGCGGGACCCAAGAGCCAGAGCTCAAATCCTGCAAGCACAGCCAGGAGCCTCACCAGGTGAGTACAGAACCAACCCTACAACCCCCACACCTCACAACATTAAAAAAGGAGGGTCCCCTGAATGACTCCAGCATGGGTTGGACATGCACATGAGGGGGACAGGAAGGGGTGATAAAGGGACAGTCACTGGTGTGCGAACGGTCTCAGTCGTACAAAATTATACCTAAATAAAAACAGGTATATGAACACCGCCGCATCCAGCGCCCGGCCAAAAGACGCCAGACCGCAGAAACTCACCTGGCGAATGGTGGCTCGAACTTGACACGACTCAACCGTGCCCAGAAGAACTTGGGAGCACCGCCAGGTGAAGACGCCAGAGCCGGACCCGCAGGAGAACAGGGAGAGGCGAAGGAGGCGGTCCACACCCATGACACAGAAAACCGCGGTGTCCTCCCCACAACTGGGAACCAGGACACCCCTGGTGCAAAGGGGCACATACCGCAGCCAGGGAGAAGAACGAGAGGCGAAGCACTGTAGCAAAAAAGGGCGCAAAACCCCAGCACTGAACCATCGCCCAGACCAAAACAAACTCCACGGCGCATGCGCATAACACGCTGGCCGAACCGCATACCCTCCCTGCGGGAAGGCGCCAGCCAGGACTATTGCACGAGAAAAGGAGCCAAAAGAGGAAGCAGGAACAATAAAACCGGCCAAAGAAGCAAAGAGCCCAAAAAAAAAGGGAACCCAAACGGGCGACAAGTAGCCCAAACGGGCGACAAGTAGCCCAACCGGGCGACAAGTAGCCCAACCGGGCGACAAGGAGCCCAACCGGGCGACAAGGAGCCCAACCGGGCGACAAGTAGCCCAACAGGGCGACAAGTAGCCCAACAGGGCGACAAGTACTAGGAGCCGACAGACGTTCCAATAATGCGGGAAGTAGCGAAAAACCTTCCCGTACCCTCGAGAACACAGAAGCCAACACTAGTCCCGAAGGCACACGAAGGCGCAGGCGCACCCGAGATCAAAAGTCACGCAGAACCCCAACGAACGGGGAAACATGACAAAAACACCGTCCCAAAAAGCGGGGGAGGAAACATCCACCCACAGGACGGAACCAACCGACTCAAAGGCCAAGGAACCGAGCCCGGGGAGGGGCCGACGTCCAACAGCACGTACGGCGAGTGGGGAGGAAAGACCCCACTCCGCGTAACCACAAGCCCCGCCTAGAGGGGGATAAAACCCCCCACGGGGTCTAACGGGGCCAAGGCCCCCCCCAAGGCAGCCCCTCCCCAGCCCCGGGAACCTACACGACAGGCCCCGGGGCCGAGCCGTTCCCCCAAAGCCCCGGCCGTACCAGAAAACCGGGGCAGCCGTGAAAACACTAAGGAAGGGAGCCCACTGGCAGACTCATACAACACGGCTGGAGGAACAGGCCCAAATGCCCCCGTCACTACCCCGGAAGGGGAATTCCCCTTGACTGCCCGAGTCTCAACACCACGAAACACCCCGCCCTGAACCTACAGACGGTAAGGAACCGGATGCAGGCAGGAAGGGTGAACCAGGGGAAAGACAAGGGGGCGTGGATGCAACCAACACCCCCAAGCTCCCAAAACGAAATACAACGGGGCAGCCCCGGGGCTCCCGGGGAGGAAACCACGAGAACGTTGCCACCACCAAGGCTCAAGTGCAACGCCCCTGCTGCCCGCACCCGCTTTGTTAGCACAACTGGGTAACCGAGCCACAACGAGCAACCAAACTCGCAGGACACCGGGTCGAAGGTGTCACCGACCCCACAGGCAGCAGACGGAGGCAAAACAGAGAGTCACCCAGAGACAAAAGGTGAGAGCAACCCTCAAACTCGCTGGAAGCGAGGGGGGGGCTCTGGGGTCACATCCATCGGACCCGCGCGCCCCCAGGGGTTTCCCAGGGTCCCGAGCGTTTACTTTAAGAGGACTCGCGCTCAGGTAATCCCAGGCAGGGTACTGCTAACCGGCACCCAAGCTACCAAACAACTTTCTAAGAGCTGAACCCCCGGGACGTGTACACTCACGGGGACCTAGCAGGGGGTACCACCAGAAATACTCAGAACACAAGGGACACAAGGGGCAAGAACGAAGGCAGACCCCCCCACCAGGTATATAAACAAAAGAAAAAGAAAACCCCGCAAGAGGACAGCGTACCCAAGCGGAACAGAGCCGGCCGCTATGATTGGTAAAGACAAGCTGCACAGTACCCCGCGCCCCACCAGTGCAAACACCGCCCCTTACTCTAAGGCGAACATGGGAGACAGAACACCCGAGCACACAAAGAGCGGCCGAAAGCCAAGCGGTAAACGGCCAAGCAGGGGCAGGACCCAAGGAACTTGTGGAAGGTGGCCCCAAGCCCCAAGGGCAGTACTTACAAGGCACCTAGGGAAGGGAACCCTAGGCGCATGCAGCCCGAGTACTGAAGAATCACACCCGGCTCACGCACCACCTAGAAAACAGACACCACACTCTAGGTACAGTGCTGAAACAACCACTGGAGCCGGAGCACATAACCATTGCCAATAGCATCAGCCGAAGAACTGATGGGTGGATAGCCGGCGTGGGAGGTCTGGGGCTCCCCCTTCCCCCTCCCGGGGAGGGGGGAGCTGCGCAGACAGCGGCGCGGTGACGTATGACGTCATACTAGTTTCCGTGTTTTCTGTTGAAGAGTTCTATTCACTAGTTCGGCTTAGGTAGCAATTTTCACCAGAATAGGGGTTTGTTTTGGAATGCTTACCTTTCTGGATGCTTGACCCGGTCGATGGCAGACATAGAATGCTTCCAACCACACGGGGGTTTCTATAGGCCATTGCTCCCCTTGCCTCTCTGAGGGGGCCAGGTTCTGGCTCGTGGTCCCCGGTAGGCCCTAGAACTCCATACACATGACTGATGCCAAAGTCTGACATTAGCATATCAGCCGGTAAAGCTCCGGGGAGCCAACGGGGCTCCCCCCAGAAAACATTATTTTTTAAAACTTGAATACTGAGCAGCTAATGGAGTTTTAACTTAATTCTATATCTTTTATAAAAACTAAACATAGATGTAACTTTAATTTATTATTTTATCCCAATGATCGAGTCTATTGTATACAGAATAACACTGCTATCAATACTTACCTCATTACGATAATGCATTATGACTTGATTTAAGATGCTAATGCTGATCCCTGCTTGCAGCGTACGAATGTGACTGGCATTAGGATGAAAGAACAGGTGAGTGGCACCAATCACAATTAACCTTGAGGGATCTTCTACACTCTCCAACACACTCACCTTAAATAAAACAAAAATATACCAAATCTAAACAGAGATGTTATTGGTATCAAAAATAAATAAGTTAAGAGTGCAAGTAAATGTAAAGGAGTCCCTGGGTGTCTGGGGGCAGATTACTGGTGGGACTGAACTAGCTGGCAAATATAATCATGATTTAATCCACATGTTTACCAAGTCCAAATTTGATATACAAGCATCTTAAACCACCCCAACATGTAGTCACTATCATCCATTGATCTCCTGGGGGCACTGCAGGCATTGTCATATGCCAATTTTCATTATTATTGCCTAGTTTTTATACCATGATGTAAATACAGTACTGTAACTACCATTAGAACTAGTAGCAACCTAAGCACCACAAGGTGGCAGTTGTGCTGGCACAACAACGAAGCTAGAAACTCTGACTTTTAGCCCTGGACACTTGAATGCCCACCAAACACACACCGAAACTACAATTCGAACAAGTTTTAATACCTCCTAACCAGTTATAGCAACCAATATAGTAAGTTGTAACAACGTTCTAATACGTAATAAACACGTAAGCCAAGATGTAACAACTTTATTACAAATTGTAACAAGCGGAAAATAGAGACAGTTTCGGTTTGTGTTTCCAGGGTGAGCTCAGGAAAGCCAAGACCAAACGACTGCAGATGGGAGTAACCAAGGGACTACACAGTATGGGGCGTATCTCCTCTCAATTACCCAACCATCTGGACTGGTCAGCAAAGCAATGCCTCTCACTTCTTGCCGAGTACATGTTTGATCCCCGATGGTTCAATCTAGTAGCTGGGCACCATTCCTTCACCCCCTTCCTCATATCACAGTTGTTTGTCTTCAGACCCCTTTCAAATGCTGTAAAGTCAGATTATACTGGCTTACTGTTTTCTCCTCGTCATTTCCTTTTCTTTATTCTGTCATTCATAATATTTGAGCATGAACCCAGTCAGTTGCTTCCTTAGCCAATTTCTTTCATTTTGTTTCAATATTTTACAGTACTGTATAAAAAAATTGTACTAGTGTCAATATTAAATGCTTTGCTAAAAGTAAGGAAGTTGAGCATGCCTTAAGAATTTCAAGAAACGACTGAATATGGTGATGATCTCTTCAAGAATGTCCGAGGATAACTGCAAGGTACCAATTCTTCAAGAATATCTGGGGATGACTCCACATACTGATCATCAAGAATAGCTAGAGATAACATTCATAAAAATGTATTAAGACAACAACTCATAACTATTATTAATATCATGAGTGAATAAAATGAAGATGGAATCACTTGTACTTAGTTAAATAAAAACAAAAAAGAATAGATCACACAGGCTTTAGAAACTAACATATAAAAATTTGATTTTCAAAATTTGATTGATATCCAGACAAAATTTAACCTTTAGTTACGAAAACAATCAGAATCACAGATTGAAATAAATAATGGGTACCTGCAGGAAGGCGTGAAGAGAGTGTGTTATCCCCCACTGTCTTTACCTGTAAAACTGTGCGTACATGCGACAGCAATTTGAGAAAGTCTGGACTCTTCTGTACTTTCTCAAAGACACCAGCGAGAAATGATTCTTTCTGCAGCTCGTCAGTCAATACTAAACGTCGCCTTTCAAGCATTCTATGACAGTGAGAAAAAAGGAGCTTGTAAATCCTACAATTTATATTATTCAAGACATGCAAGGTGGACATACACCCAACATTTCTCAAGAAAATATCTCTCTCTATCAATTTCTCTCATCAATGAAACTGCCACTTTCACATTATAGTATATATATTAGCTATTTTTATTAAGATAAATCAAATCTGGATATTAGAAAATTATATTTTAACCTCTAATGTGTATTACCGAAGCTTACTGTGTCGAAAGAAAATAGCGAGACCTTCACTAATTTGTCCTTTAGCATCATAGAAACCACCAAAACCTTCATTCATGAGATGAGGTTCAATATCCCGAAAGAATACTTTCTCATCTACTTCTTGTAGGCATATTACATCCCCATTATAGCCTGAAAGTAAAAGGAAGGAGGTATAATGTATAAAATTCTTTCCATAACAAGACTTCAGGCAGCAAGAGTATACAGTAGTGTATAATGTAGCTTATAAATACAGGTGGATATATAATGTACATCAATGCAACTCTAACCCACTCTCAATGGCTCGTGTAAGGTTATTTCCATGCATCTATCTACCTCTGGCGGCTGAGGTAAGGTTACTTCCATACATCTACTCTCCACCCACTCTCTGGGCTCATGTATGGTTATTTTATACATCTATCGCCCCTCCCCCTCTCTCTAGTAGCTGAGGTAAGGTTACTTCCATGCATACATCCTAATCTCTGGTGGCTGATAAAAGATTATTTCCATACATTTATCTCCCCTTCTAACCTCATTGAAAGTTACTTCCAAACATCTATCCTACTCTCTAGTAGCTCCTGTAAAGTTACTTCATGCATTTCTCTGACTTTAATGTCAATAATGGATGGCCGTTCACTTTCTTTTCTTGTGTTCGTATTCACCCGTTCGTAACATTAATTTGCTTAACCACGTCTCAACATTTCCAATTTTCCTTCAAAATGCATTCTTTTCACTATTTTTACAGTACTTCAAGTCAAGATAACAACACGTACAAAACTTGTCATAAACTCAAATGTTGAGATATTTTGTATGAAGACAGTATTGCAGAATAATAATATTTACCAAAATTAAAAAATATTTAAACAAAATTCCATGTACATCCTTGGATATACAGTATAGAATTTAAAATTAAATAAATTCTGATAAGGATGTTAATCCCCGAGATTTGAATCAATTGTTAAACCTAAATTAAACATGGAAAACTCTTGAAGGATTCAGGGTTAACAAAATATATCTGGGTACATGAAGAACAATTCACGAACTTTATTCAAGATTCAAATATCCGTAATAATTAGACGCTCGGGTAAATCACAGCCTTAGAGTATTCATGCTTAATTGGTAAACCCTAAATCTTTTACCTTGAGGTTATCTCGAGATGATTTCGGGGCTTTTTTTAGTGTCCCCACGGCCTGGTCCTCAACCAGGCCTCCACCCCAGGAAGCAGCCCGTGACAGCTGACTAACACCCAGGTACCTATTTTACTGCTAGGTAACAGGGGCATAGGGTGAAAGAAACTCTGCCCATTGTTTCTCGCTGGCGCCTGGGATCGAACCCAGGACCACAAGTCCAGCATGCTGTCCGCTCGGCCGACCGGCTCCCTGATCTATCTACTCCATCCGCTCCCTGATCTACCCATCTTGATCTTACCACTTAGAAATTGGTTTACAACAAATTATTCTATCTTTTGTATCTTTGAAACAGATCTGGTCAATATTTAATAATCTAAACAAATTTTATGTTATATTTCCTACAAGACCTAAATACTGGTGAATAGCTAACAAATGAATGAAGGTCTTACCAATAATCTCTCTAATGAGCAGCTGCTTACGATAGTCGGCATTTAGAGCATGCTCGGGGCACGTTGGGAACAATTCCTCTCGAGCATAGTTTGAATTGGAATACATTTCAGCAAGAATATTGTACGAAATCACACGCAGGCTGCAAAGGAATAATAAAAACCTATAAAAATTTCTCAATGAACACCAAAGAATAATTAAAGTATACAGAAACTTTGTAATTATTGAAACTTAATTATGGTATCAGTTCATGTACATTCCCAGCTTAAAAAAAATAAAGAATTTTTAATTTAAATTGTATAAGGGCTTTGACAAAAAAATTTCTGCTGATCCAATCTATTTTTTAAAAATGCATATACAGTAATGTACAGTACTGTACTGTATTCGGTGTATGGGTTTTAATATACGTGACAGCACTCATACTAAGGTATAGTGCAGGACCAAGTTTAAAAATTCACCTGTTGTCTCCTGCCATCTCCTTGGTAAAATGATGGCGTTTCTGGAAGGGGCATTCACTAGGGCCGGGCGATACTACCACTGACGACAACACCTCCACCGCCTCCCCTCTGCGCTCTCCCGAACATGGTGTAACAATAACCTAGCAAAGTGTTATATACAACTACACATTTTACCAACTTCATTCTATTTTTATATTTTGTATGTGCAGTATATTACAGTTAATTTCTATACAGTAATTGTTAAAAAAGTAATAGTGTATTAATTTCCCATAAAAAATCATGAGATCATATTTGTAACATACAGCCCAAGAATAATGTGCCAAAAATGTGTATACTGGTACTGTATACAGAATACTGTAGTACAAAGTGTACAAAGTCTTCATTCCATAAAATCTGGGCCAATTATTAAGCAATTTCATATTAATTATAGATTAATATCAAGCAAATATTCCCAAACAATTCAAATTATAAATGTTTACCTTCAGTAACCTTCCAATATCTTCATCAGTAGGCATGCAAAAGAATCCATCCCCTAGTTCAACCCATTTGATTTTATCGGTAAGATGTTTAGAACGGGGCACCTCATCGCGAGGCTTGCCGGAAAATTTTGTATCGCTCACATACCATTTAAACAGGCACTGTTCTCTGCTGGCAAACACAACCTCAAGTTTCTTTAAATTAACTAAAAACCCTGCAACAATTATAGCTGGAAGTTCTGCAGTCTCTATAATGGGAGGGTTAACATCTATATAATACTCTTCTTTTCCAATAACCAAATTGTGTTTTGAGCCATGCATAACAAATGATTGGTGACATGTCATGTCTTCCTGGGCACACAATATCTCTTTCTTGTCACCAAGTGCGATCATTTTAACAGGAATTTCAACAACACCAATATTCTCCCTTTTCCTATTCTTATTCATCACCGCACATTGAATTTTAACACTAATTTTTTCTAAGACATCATTTAACTGCTCATGAGGTGATCTTTGCAAATTGAAGATTTTATTAAGCTTTAAATCATCATTTCTGTATCTAAAAGATATCCCAACAGTTAACGTTTCACTTGTATGAGTCACCACAACTTTGTTTAGTGAAGTGTCACCAAGTCTGTTGAACTTTGCCATCCATCGGCAGCTGGAAGAGAAGCCCCAATACAGACGACACGAAAATCTTTGCTGGACAAGTGTCATCATTTTGGCTCGTTAAACTTTTTTCCTCTTCCGGTTTCTTGTCTGCAGAGAAAGAATAATCACCTTTCAATTAAAACATGGAACCCTCTTCTTGGGACACGACCTGTAATTGACTCGAGTCTACAACCAAATTATATGTCAATACAGTACTCCTGGGGCCACATACACCGAGATTATTTGACCTCAGGCAATTTTGAGGAGGGACCAATTATGTCTCGTTCTCTCAACTAAACCAATCAGAAAATTTATATCACTGAGATAGCATCACTGAGGTTGGTGTGGTGGTGTCGCCGAGGTTGGTGTGGTGGTGTTGCTGAGGTTGGTGTGGTGGTGTCACTGAGGTTGGTGTGGTGGTGTCGCCGAGGTTGGTGTGGTGGTGTCGCCGAGGTTGGTGTGGTGGTGGTGTCGCCGAGGTTGGTGTGGTGGTGTCGCCGAGGTTGGTGTGGTGGTGTCGCCGAGGTTGGTGTGGTGGTGTCACTGAGATTGGTGTGGTGGTGTCGCTGAGGTTGGTGTGGTGGTGTCGCTGAGGTTGGTGTGGTGGTGTCCCAGAGGTTGGTGTGGTGGTGTCCCAGAGGTTGGTGTGGTAGTGTCCCAGAGGTTGGTGTGGTAGTGTCCCAGAGGTTGGTGTGGTGGTGTCACTGAGGTTGGTGTGGGTGTCCCAGAGGTTAGTGTGATGGTGTCCCAGAGGTTGGTGTGATGGTGTCACTGAGGTTGGTGTGATGGTGTCACTGAGGTTGGTGTGGTGGTGTCACTGAGGTTGGTGTGGTGGTGTCACTGAGGTTGGTGTGGTGGTGTCACTGAAGTTGGTGTGGTGGTGTCACTGAGGTTGGTGTGGTGATGGTGTCACTGAGGTTGGTGTGGTGATGGTGTCACTGAGGTTGGTGTGGTGATGGTGTCACTGAGGTTGGTGTGGTGGTGTCACTGAGGTTGGTGTGGTGGTGTCACTGAGGTTGGTGTGGTGGTGTCACTGAGGTTGGTGTGGTGGTGTCACTGAGGTTGGTGTGGTGGTGTCACTGAGGTTGGTGTGGTGGTGTCACTGAGGTTGGTGTGGTGGTGTCACTGAGGTTGGTGTGGTGATGGTGTCACTGAGGTTGGTGTGGTGATGGTGTCACTGAGGTTGGTGTGGTGATGGTGTCACTGAGGTTGGTGTGGTGATGGTGTCACTGAGGTTGGTGTGGTGGTGTCACTGAGGTTGGTGTGGTGGTGTCACTGAGGTTGGTGTGGTGGTGTCGCTGAGGTTGGTGTGGTGGTGTCGCTGAGGTTGGTGTGGTGGTGTCACTGAGGTTGGTGTGGTGGTGTCACTGAGGTTGGTGTGGTGGTGTCACTGAGGTTGGTGTGGTGGTGTCACTGAGGCTGGTGATGGCACTGACGTTGGTAGCATCACTCCACTTGGTGTGATGAATGAGGACATTGACAAAACTAAACTGCCCTGGGGCAGGATTCTGTATCCATGGATCTGCCCCCCCCCCCTCACCCCTGCCCCAAGGAGAGCAGGAACCTGCCCACCAACACCATACTAAGTCAACTCTCATACCAGGAATGGCTAAGGGCCAGCTTGATACCTGCGGCCACAGAATTAACATCACTGCAACCCAGACATGACAACTGATCTCATCAAGACCTTTATAAAAACTGAACAAGTTGGAGGATATTAATCTAGACCACTACTTAAAGAGGTCACATGTAACACATACACGGGACAACAGATAACTCTAAACAATCCACTCGGTAGTACAGTTGGGTTAGTTCTTGACTCGCAAACAGGAATTCCAGGTGGGACAGAAATGGTTGGGCATGTTTCTTTTCATCTAATGAATCTGTTCACCTAGCAGCAAATAAGTGTCTGGAAGTTATTAAACTGTTGAGGAGTTGCATGCTGGGGGAGGGTCAATAGTTTGACATTTGGGGAAACCTTGATATAAGCCTAACATATATACAGGTATATACAAACAGAGGCTGCCTGTCCCTGACAAAATTAAAAAAAAAAAAAAAGCCACAATGTAGGATAGAAAACAGATACAATACTTTTACACTCAAAATATTATAGTACGGATGGCTTATTTCTCAACTCACAATCAGGGTTCCTGAGTATATAACCTCTCCCTGGTTATTCCCTCCCTCCCTCTTATTCCATTCTATGCTAAATCTGATTTCTTTGTGATCACTGTTCACTAGCTCACTCCCTATTTTGACGTCATTAATTTGTGTCTCCCTGTTAGGTAACACCAAGTCTTAAATATTTTTTTCCCACATTGGTTCCTTGATGTGTTGCTTAAGGAAGCAATTGTCTATTAATTCTAGAAAATCTTCAGCTTCGTTATTCCCTCTTCTGTTAAGCCAGTTTATTACAATAAAATTAAATTCATCCATCATGCAAATACTGTTTGACCTAGATGCATTCCTTCCATTCTGTCTAAGTTTGGTGGCCTGTATATAACTCCTATTATAGGTTTTTTAGCTTTTTTTGGTTTAATTGTAACCAAATCGTTTGTGTGTGTGATGTTCAGTTTTGATTCTCTCTTTGAGACATTTCAAATTTTTCCTGACATATATGACTACTCTCTCCTTGTCTAATATATCTATCTGTATGAAATAGTTTAAATCCATTTACAGGTATTTGATATTCAGCTACAGTAATAGGTCTCTGTTTTCTATATTTATCCATGTTTCTGTAAGAGCAATAATATCCATTGTTTCTGTGCAGACAAGAGCAATTAAATAGTTTATTTTGTTTCTTAGACTCCTACTGTTCATGTAATATACTTTAAGTGTACTGCTATTTTGAGGCCCTTCTCTTTTCCTGTTTCTTTTACCAATTTTTTTTGTCCTCCCCCCCCCCCCCACTCATATGTTTAATGCCTTCTTTTCCCCATATCAATTCCCATAACACTATCTACTAACTGTTTAAACCTAAATAAACCCCTCTAACGACAGATACTAACGAGTTGGCAACAGCAACAACCCCAGCCCTCGATAAATTAGCCCATCTCGAGCATGCATGTCATTCCTTCCATAGAATTAGTCCTAGCTATCAATGAATGATAACACATGTGATTTACAATATTTGTCCAGTCGGCAACTGACACAGTGCCCTCAACAACAGTTTATCTCCAACTCCCTTTCTTGGAAGAATGCCACATATGATCAGCATTCCTCCCTTGCTTAACAATTAATTGTTGCTTCTAATTGATTCTATGGCTGTCTTAAACCTCTGTATCAATTCCTCACTCCTAACTCATCCAACATCATTTCCACCTGCACTGATACAAATAATGAGTTTGTTCCCAATTCCAGCCATAATATCATCCATGTTAACAAATCCACAAGGGCCGTGACGAGGATTCGAATCTACGTTCATTCATGTTGGTTTACAATATCACTTATTTCGGGTCCGTCTAATTACCACAAGCTACCACAAACTACACAAACTTCAGAAAGCTTCCTGGCAATACGTTAGTAATGAATAAATATGATATATTAAGTTAGGCTGACCTAACCTAACCTAACCTATCCTAACCTAACCTAACCTAACTTAACCAAACCTAACCTAACCTAACCGAAGCTTGGATCGTCGACTTGATTTGGCGTCACCAGCTTTTTATTTTCGTCTAATTTCTTTATAAAAAGATACTTTTTCAGATTAAAATTATGTTTTTTCGTGTTGTACATTCAGCACCAACATTATAATGAGTAAATATATCATATTTATTCATTACTAACGTATTGCCAGGAAGCTTTCTGAAGTTTGTGTAGTTTGTGGTAGCTTGTGGTAATTAGACGGACCGCTTATTTCTGCTCCTGGATAGCAAACCCGCTATCCGGGAACCAGGCAGAAGATGGAAAAAAAAAACACTATCAACTTCCCTGGGTGAATTCCCAGGTGAATAGGACGCCAGGCGTCAAAATGTGGGCTGTTGAAGAAGAAGAATGCCACTGTAATATCTTAACCCAAAGTATAATAAGTGCGTTCCGTTGTCTGGGCCCGAAGAAAGTGTCCAGACCCGTCAAGGTTGAACCATGAGCTCCTTTAAGACGCTGAGCGTCTTCATAGTCATAAGGATTTGTACACAAAGAAATCACAATGGCCTGATATATATCGATGAGAAAATAATTTGGGGAATCACTAGAACGTTGTTTCAAGAGATGTGTTGATTTAGGGGCGACGGTTTCGAGAGATTTTGTTGTGATTGCTGCGGCCGCTCGCTCCTGGTCCTGGGACGACACTCACATTTTCTTTGTTAAAATGTTGGGAAGACTCTATCATATAACTTTTGTGAATCCATTTATCAATTTTAATAGGATTTAATTTCTGGTTCTTATTTTTTCGAGCAATCGTTTTGTCTAAGGGTATTTATATAAACCTAACGGGCTTCATGTTCTCTATCAAAATTATACTCAAAACACTTCACGTATTAGTGAATCTTCTCACTTGTTCCGACCGTCTACCATTATGTCTGTAAAGTATAGGAGCCTGATAGCTGAATGGACAGAGCTCTGGGCTCGTAATCTTAGGGTCCGGGTTCGATCCCCGGTGATGGCAGAAACATAATGGGCAGAGTTTCTTTCACCCTGATGCCCCTGTTACCTAGCAGTAAATAGGAGTTAAACAGCTGTTACGAGCTGCTTCCTGGGTGTGTAGGGGAAAAAAAATAATAGTTAGTAACAGTTGATTGATTGACTGTTGAGAGGCGGGCGGAAAGAACAGAGCTCAACCCCCGCAAGCACAACTAGGGTGAGTACACACACCCAGAAAGCAGCCCGTAGCAACTGTCTATCAGGTACCTATTTACTGCTAGGTGAACAGGGACATCAGAGTGAAATAAACTGCCCATTTGTCTCCGCCTGCGCCGGGGATCGATCCCCGGGCCCTTAGACTACGAATCCCGAGCGCTGTCCGCTCAGTCGTCAGGCCCTTAAAGCTGTGTATACCTAACACTGTTAATAAAAAAATAATTATATTCTCTACGTGATTTAGCTCTTAAGCAACAAGTACAGTATAGGTAGCCGGGCAATCGACATATATATTTGACAAGCTTATAAATTAGTAAGTAGCCCTAATTAATTATAAATTATTATTATAAGTAAACCTAGTAATAAATATATTTAAAAGTTCCCGTAGTGTAGTGGTTAAGACATTCGCCTGGCGTTTCGTGAGCGCTCTGGCCTGGTTCGTATCCTGGCCGGGGAGGATTGACTGGGCGCCAATCATTACCTGTAGCCTCTGTTCACCCAACAGTAAAATAGGTACTTGGTTGTTAAGCGATTCGGCGGGTCGTTTCCGGGGAACAATTTCAATAGGATTAAGGACGCTACGAGTGCTAGTAGCTGTACAAGAATGTAAGAACTTTTGTATATATACATAAATAAATTCAAATATATAACCCCACAGATCACATGCTAATTTTCATGATAGTTTTAGTTAAATTATTTGAAATCCGGATTTCTTGTTTGTGAATTAATGGCGGTGTCTTCCCGCCGGATTTGTTGACAAACAAGGCGACCTTACACCTCCTGGGGCAGGTTTTGAAAGGTGTAGCACAGGCTGTAGGTGTCCTTCACTCTTTCTTCCGAAATGAATATAATGTACTGTAATTATATGATAAGTCCTAACTGGAGCTTGTGCAGGTCTGCAGATCCTTCAATGATGGACCTTCCCAAGTAATTGGCAGCACTGCTGAGGGAATGGCAGAGCAGCTCGTGTTTGAGGAGACCCATCAATAATTATTCTCGAGGACAGTGGCTCTGTATGGAGGGTTGTGGTGATGGCTGCAGCAGCACCATATAAATGGAGTGGGAACATTGTCGACAAACTTGATATCAATCCCAGAATAATAATGAGCGCTAAGAGAGGTGAGGCATATATTGGGTTCTTTCTGATTAAGGGCATTATTAATAACTCATTCCACATGTAAAAAAAAAAAGGTCAGTCCAAGACCCTTATTAAGTCGTGTCTCTTATTAAGACACAACTTGGATAAGGGTCTAGGGATACACCAAAACATCCTCACTTTCCTTTCTTATCATGTGTGAGATGAGCTATTAATTTTAATGACATTCTCTGCATAGTTCATTATTATTTGTCTGGACCGAGTAATGGAAGTTAGTTCCAGTTGTCACAAACTTTATGAATGATTACTATTGTAGTTCAGAAATGTCATCAGCATAAAATTTAAGATATTCACATTCATGATATCTTAATTATTAATTTTATTAGAAGTTAATTACAAAAAAATTACCTCATTTCAAACTTGCTACTATAGTACTGTAATTTAAACTAGCTAATCTAACCTGAGATAATTCAGCCTAACATTAACCTAACCTTACAAACCATAACCAAGGACAGACTGAAACAATAACTTTTCCTTTTTTGTGTGGTAATGTTAGTGTTAAAAACCTTACCTATCCCAATTTAATCAATACTGTAAATCTAGGAAAAAGATCATTACTGTATCTGGAAGGAGCAACTTGGAAATGGGATTACTCAGTCCAATACATCTTCTAAAGTATATAGGCTATGCCCATGAATTGGTGATCCTAATGTTTAAAACACTGTTCACCAACAACATAATGCCTACCAGAATAGCTGAGTTCACACACATAGCAGTCAAAGCTGTTTATACACTTCTCATATGGTTATGATTACACTGTCTTTCAATTTGGAATTATTCCTACTACAGTATACTGTATGTGCAAAAGAAATTTTGCAAAAAATGTGAAATGTTAATATAGATTAATTACATTCATAACAGAGATGTGTTGAGGATATCCCTCTTCCTTCTTCTGCTTCGCTCATTCACCTCTTGAGTGAGCAAATTTTGATGCTGTTTGGCTCAGGATTTCTCTCTCATCTCTTATTGTTCTGCTAATAATTTTAGAAGGACTGTTAGGATTTTTCTGGGTTATGCCTTCTTGGCTTTTAATTATTTGTCTAAAAATGCAGATAAATATGGTCTATCATTCTCTAAATAACTTCCAAATATTTGGACAATATAAAATAACAAAAGAAGGCAAAATATCCCAAAATCCAGATTATTTGCGAATTTGGATAGTGTACACAAATTTATTGTTTGGATTTTGGAAGTGCCACTCTTTATTTATTTTCCAGCTGGTTATGTGTCTATTTTGAATATCCTACGGGCATCGCAGAGTGAGCTGCAACAAAAACTTGGACTTGCAGCTGCAGACGTGGAGCAGCTAATATCTGCTGTAGCTGCCTATGCCCTTCCCAGGCAATTATCAGGTGTGTATCAGAATTAACTTTGGATGTCAACTGAACACTCACATGTACACTATTGTAATTCTTGGGGAAATTTTATGCTTCTTAATTTTTACAACATTGTATTTACTAAATATTAATTTATTCTTGAAATATCATAACTCTGCATTTATTTATTGAAAAAATTGTTTATTGTTGTACATCGTGCTCTGAGGGAAACATTAAATTTTCTGTAGAAAGTTGTCCAAGAATTGGTTGTTAAATCAATGGAAAGATTTTCTAATTGCTCATTTGCTGTAAAATATAATGTACCTTACCAAGATATCTAAATACACTATAGTATAGCATATGCAATGCAATACTTTCCACCATACTCCTTTGTAGCACTTGCAAACTCTCTAAAATGTTATATTCCCCTCATTTTGCATACTTCTTAATGACATCCCGCCAAACACACATCGAAACTACGACGTTGGTACAACGTTCGAACAAGTTTTAACACCACCTAACCAGTTATAACAACCAATATAGCAAGTTGTAACAACGTTCTAATACGTCGTAAACACGTTAAGCCAAGATGTAACAACTTTATTACAAGTTGTAACAAGCGAAAAATAGAGATAGTTTCGGTTTGTGTTTCCAGGGATGCCCTTTAATACAAATGTGCCAGAATTCTCTTTTGTTCATGTTGCCATATTTATTCTGTACAAATGCACTCTCTCAATGTTGTTACGTGCTCACCCTTATAATTTGTTATTTTATTTATTTATATACGAGAAGGTACATTGGGTTTGTGAGAATACATAGCATAGTACAGTATTTACACTCTTGTAAAGCCACTAGTACCCGCAGCATTTTGGGTAGGTCCTTAATCTAACATATAATTTTAAGTAGGTAAATTCTATCAGAATTAATAAAATGATAAATACATTGCAAGAAAAAAAAATGAGATGAGAGAGATTAGTAAGTATATTAAAGCACATTGGTATATTAAAGCTCTGATTGATTACATTGACAGCTTGATTGGTAATTTAAACAAGATTAATAGACACTTGTAATAGTTAATAACTAGTAATAATGGTAATAATAGTAACTAATAATAGTTATCTTGATGAGTTTTAACTCCTAACATAGTTTCACTTACTCTTTACCTCTCCAAGCATTACCTTCACACTACAGCACTTGCCATTGAAATTTAATTAATTTATACAGTACTAACAAATATCAGTGAGTTGTACGATACTCTGTAAACTTTGATGACATTGTTAATTTTAATTTGGTGAGTTTTTTCTGATGTATTTATTTGCCATTCAAAACTTTCTACCTTGATATTCTTTTTTTCTGCATTGCCCCTGCAAGATGCAAAACCTAATAATTGAAACACTTCAAAACTAGCCATCCTATGTAAATTTGACCTTATTTTACACACTGACATCTCTTTCTCATTATCTTGCAATTTGTTGATAAGACCTTCATTTTTTTTTACTTATTTTGCTAGGTTGGGAAATAGATAATTCCAACACCGGCAAGTTGCTTCACATTACCAGCGGTTGCCGTCTCCTTGATGACTTCCTCGGTGGTGGAATACCTGTTCGAGGGATTACAGAAGTGGCAGGCGAGAGTGGCAGTGGGAAAACGCAACTTGCATTACAGTTGTCACTTCATGTGCAGCTTTCCCCAAGTAGTGGTGGCCTTGGTAAAGGTACTTCACATTTAATTACAATTGTATATTATTCTGTCAGCCCATCCTCCTAACATGGTAGTATTTATAGTAATTATTTGGTTGAAAGTACAGTACAGTACAGTACCAATATGTAGTGATCAACCACCAAAAAGTTAACATTTTATATTACTGAATTTTACCAAATGGGAACATTTTAACTGCCATACATACCTTCTGTTTAGCGCTTTCTAGATGTAAATTTTGTTCACTGTTTCCAACTTCATCTATTAATCACAGGTGTGGCTTACATCTGCACCGAGTCACAGTTCCCGGCTGCTCGGCTTCAGCAACTGATAAAACACATGCAGAGAAACCATCCCAAGGGACCCAAGTCATACTCGGATAACATTTTTATTCACCATGTTCCAGATATGGTAAATTCCTTTGGTGTGACATGCATTCATAGTTGTTTTGTGATACAGATTATTGTGGCACAGTCATGCAGTTTTGTGAGTATTCTGCTAATTTCGAAAGGTTAATCATATTCTATATTAAATAGTGTGGGGATCTGCTAATTTTGAAAGGTTGATCATGTTCTATATTAAATAGTGTGGGGATCTGCTAATTTTGAAAGGTTGATCATGTTCTATATTAAATAGTGTGGGGATCTGCTAATTTTGAAAGGTTGATCATGTTCTATATTAAATAGTGTGGGGATCTGCTAATTTCGAAAGGTTAATCATATTCTATATTAAATAGTGTGGGGATCTGCTAATTTTGAAAGGTTGATCATGTTCTATATTAAATAGTGTGGGGATCTGCTAATTTTGAAAGGTTGATCATGTTCTATATTAAATAGTGTGGGGATCTGCTAATTTCGAAAGGTTAATCATATTCTATATTAAATAGTGTGGGGATCTGCTAATTTCGAAAGGTTGATCATATTCTATATTAAATAGTGATCATATACTACGTATATTAAATAGTAATCATGTACTATATTAAATAGTGATTACATAGTACAGTATATTAAATAGTGATCATATATTGTACTATATTAAATAATGATCATATACTGTACTATATTAAATAGTGATCATATACTATATTAGGCATAAGTATCCACTAGGAAAATGAAACAAAAATTCTGAACGTTTTCATGTTTCACCACATCATCAAATATATGCAGTATTTCCTTGATAATGTGGTGACACAAAAACGTTCAGAATTTTCATTTCATTTTCCTAGTGGATACTTAGGAATAACTGAATCACATGTTTTTTGTGATTATTCTTGTATACTATATTAAATAGGGTAATTACATATTGTATGACCTCGGTTATCTGAAGCACACTGAACCGAATACAGTATTTGCGTTATTGGCAAATATTCGGTTCAGTGGGCTTCAGTGATTTAAATCACTTCGTTTTTACAAAGAAAGTAAATTTACACAGTATATTACTTCAAAGAGTGATTTGCTTTGTAAATGAAATCAAATTCAGTGTTCTTTCATTTTAGAATGTGCTTTGTAGGTACTGTATATACAGTATAGCTTGGCCTCTCTAGGCTCGAGTGTGTGATGTATGTGTAACTGAGGCATGGTTGCTGCCCATGGTGTAACTGGTATGACTGCTGCTTAGGATATCTTAAGATGTCTGGCCTATATGAAATCTATTTAAATTATATATATTGTAATGTCTTCAAAGGACAGCCTGGTTGACTGCGTGCGATACCAACTCCCCCATCTCGTTCCTTCTCGTCAAGTGGGTCTGGTGGTGATAGATTCCGTTGCAGCTGCTTTCCGAGCTGAAGATGGAACAGACTTGAATAAGACGACAGCCCTCCAAACTTTAGGCTACAGATTACATCAATTAGCCTCATCACACAAAATTGCTGTGCTAGCAATTAATCAGGTACTCATCTAATCACCTAATTGTGCTTGAAGTGGGTTGAGCTTCTGCTCTTTGGTCCTGCCTCTCGATTGTCAATCAACCGGTGTACATATTACCGAGCCTATTAGGCTCTCATATCTACATTTGAAACAGTTTATGGGGTTTGCTTCCACAGCATCATTTCCTAATGCATTCCATTTGTTAATACTTTGACTAAAAAAGTTCTCTCAAATGTCTCTATGGCTCATTTGAGTATTCAGTTTCCACCTGCGTCCCCTAGTGCATGTGCTTCATATGTTAAACTGTCTTTATCCACTCTATAAAATCCTCTGAGAATCTTACATGTAGTGATCATGTCTCCCATAACTCTTCTGTCTTCCAGTGACATGAGGTTCAGTCTCATAATAGTTCATACCCCTCAGCTCGGGTACTAGTCTGGTGGCATACCTCTGAACCTTCTCCAATTTAGTCTTGTGCTTGACAAGATACTGACTCTATGCTAGAGCTGCGCTGCATACTCCAAGATTGGTCTGACATATGTGGTATACAAGGTTCTGAATGATTCCTTACATAAGTTTCTAAAGGCCATTTTTATGTTGGCCAACCTGGCATATGCTGCTAACGATATCCTCTTGATGTGGGTTTCAGGGACAGGTCTGGTGTGATATCAACCGCCAGATCTTTCTCACTCGCTGATTCTTGCAGAATTTCATCTCCCAAATGGTATCTTGTATCTGGCCTCCTGCTTCCTACACCTATTTTCATTACTTTCCATTTGCTTGGGTTAAACTCTAACAACCATTTGTTGGACCATTCCTTCAATTTGTCCAGGCCATCTTGAAGTCTCATGCTATCCTCCTCTGGCTTAATCTTTCTCATAACTTTGGCATCACCAGCAAACAGTGAGAGGAATGAGCCTATACTAAGGTTGCCATATCTCAACAGTCAGAATCCAGGACGACACCACTAATAGCCACCATGAGCCTCCGTGCCCCTGCTCAACACACCTTGGGCTTTTGGTGTTATATACAGAATAATATATATAATATACATATATTCTACTGTAAATGTAATTGTGTTCATGCGAATGGTAGCTGCAGCTGCACAAGAATTGTGTTTTAATATATGAGAATATATACGGTTTGTATAGTACTGTATAGTACTTATTGCATTGTTATAAAATTGCTTTGATGAGGTAATAACATCTGCACTGATTTTTTTGTTATAGGTAACAGCTACCATGGGAAAGCAGGACCTCTATGGTCTTACCGCAAGTATAACTCCTGCATTAGGCTTATCATGGTCCAATTTAGTGACAACACGTCTCATGCTGACTCGCTCTAGCTCTTTTGTCAACGCTCGTCAAATATTGCCCAAGGATGAAGAAGACAAAGGCTCAGGATGGGATATTGTCAGGTTCAATAACTCTCTAGAATGTAATGAGGAAGATGCCAAGAAAGCTGTTGAATACAATGTAAGAGTACTGGAAGTGGTATTCTGTCCTTGGTTAGAAAGAAAATCCTGTTCATTTGTTGTTACTGAGAAAGGAATTGAAAATATTGTAATTAATACAGAAGATTTGTGTGTGTCTTCTGTGTAGGAAGCTAACATTAATAAATGCCAAAGACTTAAATTTTTTTACCAATA